TAATTGTCCTCCATTTCTGTGTTGTTCTGCTTTTGAGCCTGAAATCAGTACCACCTACTGTCCTCCCCCCGACCCCCACCCCTGCGCAGCGGGTTGGAGCCCTAAATAACAATAAGGGGGGGACCTAATGTCCTCCCCCCAGCCCCCACCCCTGCGCGGTGGGTGGAGGCCCTAATAACAATATGGGGGGGACCAACTGTCCTCCCCCCCCCCTGACCCCCACCCCTGAGCAGTGGGTGGGGGCCATAAATAAAATTTGGGTGGGGGACCTAATGTTCCCCCCCGGCCAGTACCCCTGAGCGGTGGGTGGGGGCCATAAATAAAAATTGGGGGGGACCTAATGTCCTCCCCCCGGCCCCTTCCCTGCATGGCGGGTGGGAGCCATAAATAAAGATTCCCCCCTCCCCAAAAAATTACCCCTACCTACCCCCCAATCCTAAAAATAATGAGGGGGGACCCTTGTCTAAATAGCTGTAAAAAAAAAATAGACTTACCATTTGATGTCTTCTTTCTTCTAAAATCTTATTTTTTCAGCCCCAGAATAAAAAAAATCCAGAATAACCGACGAACTTTAAAAAAAAAAAAAAACAAGAGCAAAAAAATAAAATAATCCTTCTTCACCCATGGAGGGCTCTGCGCAGACTAAGCTCTGCAGGTCGGGGGAAGGCTTATAAAGCCTTGCCCCGCCCTGCAATTAGGCTCAGAGCACTCTGATTGGTGGGTTTAAGCCATCCAATAAGAGTGCTCTGACAGGTAAATGAAGAGACTGACAGGTAAGTCTCTACATTTAACTGTCACAGCACTCTGATTGGTTGGCTTGAAATCCACCAATCAGAGTGCTCTGTGTCATTTTACACAGCGTGGGACCGGGGGGCAGGACATTAGGTCCCCCCCCCCCCAATTTTTATTTATGGCCCCTACTCACCGCTCAGGGGTTGGGGCCATGGGGGAGGACATTAGGCCCCCCCTCTTATTGTTATTTAGGGCCCCCACCCACTGCACAGGGATGGGGGAAAGGGGGAGGACAGTAGGTTCCCCCCCCTTATTGTTGTTTAGGGCCCCCACCCACCGCTCAGGGGTGGGGGCCGGTGGGGAGGACATTCGGTCCCCCCTCCCAATTTTTATTTAGGGCCCCATCCGCCGCACAGGGATGGGGGCAGGGGGAATGACAGTAGGTCCCCCCCCTTATTGTTATTTAGGGCCACCACCCACCGCTCAGGGTTTGGGGGCAGGGGGGGACAATAGGTCCCCCCTTATTGGTATTTAGGGCCCCCAGCCACCGCTCAGGGGTGGGGGCCGGGGGGGGCAATAGGTTCCCCCTTTAGTTTAAAAGCCCCCACTCGCGCGTCGCGGGTGAGGCTGCTCACTGTTTAACCCCTTAAGGACGGAGCCAAATGTACACGTTGTGAACAAAACAAAATGTAAACAAAACCTGGCATTTGCGCTACATGTCTGTCCAACCGTAATACACCTCATAGTTGCACCCACCCTTATTATATATCATTTTATTCAGGGGAAACAGGGCTTTCATTTAATATCAAATATTTAGCTATGAAACATAATTTAATATGAAAAAAATGGGAGAAAATACGATTTTTTTGATTTTTTTAGTTCTACATGACATTTTAAAGGTCAGTGTCATAATACTGTTTGCTTTTACTGCAATAAAATACACATATTTGTATTCAGTAAAGTCTCACGTGTAAAACAGTACCCCCTATGTACAGGTTTTATGGCGTTTTGGGAAGTTACAGGGTCAAATATAGAACGTTACATTTGAAATTGAAATTCGCCAGATTGGTTACGTTGCCTTTGAGACTGTATAGTAGCCGGGAATGAAATTTACACCCATAATGGCATACCATTTGCAATAGTAGACAACCCAAGGTATTGCAAATGGGGTATGTCCAGTCTTTTTTAATAGCCATTTGGTCACAAACACTGGCCAAAAGTTAAGCGTTAGTATTTGTTTGTGTGTGAAAAATGCAAAAAACGCCAATTTTGGCAGTGTTTGTGACTTCGTGGCACTAAAAAGACGACATACCTATTTACCAATACCTTGGGTTGTCTGGTAAATGGTATCACCATCATAAGACAGTACACTTCATTCTTGGGCGACAGCGTAACCAATCTGGCGAAAATTTCAATGTGAAAAAATGAAGCAAGCCTTATATTTGGCAGCTGTAACGCAACACCATAAAACCTGTACATGAGGGGTACTGTTGTACTCGGGAGACTTCACTGAACACAAATATTTGTGTTTCAAAACAGTAAAAAGTATCATAGCAATATTATTGTCCGTTTAATGCTGTTTGTGCGTGAAAAATGCAAAAAACGTCACTTTTACTGGCGATATCATCGTTGTAATACATTTTACTGTTTTGAAACACTAATATTTGTGTTCAGCGAAGTCTCCCGAGTAGAACAGTACCCCCCATGTACAGGTTTTATGGTGTCTCGGAAAGTTATAGGGTTAAATATAGTGCTAGCAAATTAAATTCCCTTTACTTTCGGCATGGGTTGTCATGCAGGTCCTGCTAATTGTAATTAATTAAGATACCTAATTATGTAAAAATATTACATAAATATATATGTAGAATCAATATATGTATATATATACGTATGTGTATATATATGTATATATCTATATAATTTTTTAAAAATATTTTTATTTATATATAGGTATATATATAGTGATATATACGTATATATTTATGTGTATAGATATATATATTATTTCGTTCTATGTGTATTTTGATATATATATATATATATTAATTTCACAATACAGTTAGAACGAAATAACACACATCTATATATTTTTTAATTATTTATTTTTAATTATTTTTGTAATTTTATTTTTTAACGTATTTACATTTTATTTATTTTTATAATATATATAAATATATATATAACAATAATTATATATATATTTAATCAGTATCAGTCTACGTGTAATTTGATATTAATATATATATATAATTATATATATATTAATAGTAAAATACACCTACACAGTGTACATGTGTGTATGTATATGTGTATATATATACTTTGATCATATATATATAATATATATATATGATCTAAGTATATATTATTTATTTTTTTTACACTATTTATTTATTTAATTTTTATTTTCAGCCAGCAGGGGGACCCCCTGTCATTACAGGCAGTCCCCCTGCTGGCAATACAGAAGCCAGCTATCCCCGGCCATGTGATTGTGGGGTCCTCACCAGGACCCCACTCTCACACGGCCGGGGGGCTTCGACGAGGACGGTCGTGCCGCGGGGGGCTCCCTGGGAGTCCCCCCCACCGCGATCGCCGGCGTGGGACCGCCGCCGACCGGGTAAGTAAGGAAAGACCGGAGGGCGTACTATTACGCCCGGCGGCGTTTAGAGCCGCCTATTAGAGGGCGTAATAGTACGCCCTCCGGTCTAAAGGGGTTAATAGACATGCCCCTACTAGCTGGGTCACATGCTGCACTGGCCAATCACAGCCATGCCATTAGTAGGCATGGCTGTAATGGCTTCTAAGGGCACACGAGTCAAACGCTTGTTGATTGGCTGCCCTGCGGCCTTTCAAAACGCGTCATTATATCGCTGAACACTGAACTCCAACCCGAACAGTGATATGTCTGTGTTCAGGTCCGGGGTCCAAAAAACTTAATGTTCGGTATGAACCCGAACTTTTCAGTTCGGGTTCGCTCAACTCTATCTACAAACACAGACACTATATAACCCCTACACATACAAACTCGCATTACAGCCCCCAGACACACACTACATCCCCTGCACACTCAGAATATCCCCTACACACACTCACACCACAGCTCTTAGTCACACACTACATCCCCTGCACACTCAGAATTTTCCCTATACACACTCGCATTACAGCCCCCAGACACACACTACATTCCCCGCGCACATAGACTATCTCCTAGACACATTCACTGCACAGCCCCAAGATACACACTACATCCCAGCACACACAGAATATTCCCTACACACACTCGCACCGCAGCCCCTAGATACACACTACATCCCAGCACACACCGAATATCCCCTACACACACTCGCACTGCAGCCCCTAGATACACACTACATCCCGGCACACACAGAATATTCCCTGCACTCACTCGCACCGCAGCCCCTAGATACACACTACATCCCAGCACACACAGAATATTCCCTACACACACTCGCACCGCAGCCCCTAGATACACACTACATCCCAGCACACACAGAATATCCCCTACACACACTCGCACTGCAGCCCCTAGATACACACTACATCCCAGCACACACAGAATATCCCCTACACACACTCGCACTGCAGCCCCTAGGTACACACTACATCCCGGCACACACAGAATATTCCCTGCACTCACTCGCACCGCAGCCCCTAGATACACACTACATCCCAGCACACACAGAATATCCCCTACACACACTCGCACTGCAGCCCCTAGATACACACTACACCCCCGGCACACACAGAATATTCCCTGCACTCACTCGCACCGCAGCCCCATGACACAATAAAAAGCACAATCACATGTCTAATAGCTTACGTAGTATGAGGAAAGTGACCATTCCTATATTGCCAGCCTTAATGGTTTGTCACCAGTGGAAGCCTGGAGGGTCCACTTTAGAAAACAAAGGTGTGAATTTCTAATGGTCCGGCCAATGGCTAAATGTTCACTCACCAATGGCTAGCAGCGTGTGGACATTGTGTGTCCTGTAGATATAACGTGCCAGTGCAGGTAAGCGAAAGTTGAACGGATGGCAGTGCAGTTAGATATGAGAAGTGCGTAGCATGCAGAGTCATCCCCAGACTAGGCTGCTTGTATTGGAACATGGCAGACATTCGTTATCTTTGTAACCTGTGATTTCTAACGTCGCTTTTTCTCCTATCGGATTACTCTGCATGTATTTATTACATGCATGGATAGTATTTTTAGATCTGCAGTTTCTGCTTCAGAATCGTCCTTGCCCACGATGATCCAGGAGTCCCCATGCGTGCCACGGCATCCACACAGAAATGGTGTGCACACACACTTAAGATATTATTTAACAGTGCCTTACACTTACTGCTTCCTGGATTGTACTGCAGAGGTCATTTCATTTGCATCACATGCCCTGGCTGTGCCAAGACAGATATGCCATAAACATTAAAAAAATATATATAAGCCCAGTCAATAGCTAATATTTCACAAGGTTTTGGGTTGTGAAAAACTATTTATGTCAACAGTTCCTCTTTAAACAAATAACAGTTACATCCTACACCTACATCCTACAGCTAGGAATTTCTAACAAATACATGAATGTCAAATGTATCTTTTTTTATTTTTAATTAATAGAATGTTTTTTATTTACAGTTAAGCACTATGTTTGAGTATAGATGTTTAATTAATATTTTCATATATCTTGCCAAAAAAAAGAAGTAAAATGCAAACTACTGTGTGACACTTGAAGTGTTTCATAATGAATGCCTTCCATCTTGGTAGTGGCAAGCAAGCAGCAGGTCTTCCATCTTTGTAGTGGCAAGAAGGCCGGAGGTCTTCCATCTTGGTTGTGGCAGACAGAGCAGCCCTCACAGGTGGAAGTGATTTAATTAATTACTAAAGAAAGCCATTCTGGAAGACTATTTCCTGGTGAGTAGATGTGTTAAAGAAACAGGTAATTAGTTTAAATTCTTACACCTTAAATATATGAATAATCAAGTAATGTTATTTCAATTGTTATATATTTACAGCAATGTAGCATGTTTCTGAATAATGGCTACAATACACACAAATATCGTTAGATTATATTGTATTACATTTTTATTTATATGTTATGTGTTTTGTTTTCATTTCAATGTTTTGTTGTATTTTAGTTGTAGGGGGGAGGGAGGGAAAAGGGGGATGCAGGTGGCAAAAGTCTAATTTATTTTAGTTCTGATTATTTTATAGTGCCATAAATGTAACTATATAAAGGAGTTTATCAGTCTAACCAAAGAATTGTGGAGATTTCACAGGGCAAATGCAAAATTAGGACTAAAATAGCAGATTTTGAAAAATTATCCAACTCTGCTATTTTTGCCTAAAACCTGCATCTTTTTTAATTTTCCACATTTCCAAGTTAGTGAATACTCCAGCAGAGTTTCTGGCAAAGATTATAGTTCTGTTTCAGCATGAACAGTTCAAACGCTGCATGAAATGAGCCTTTATATATCAATTTCCACTGCATTCGACCCCACGTAAGGTAGTTTTAATATAGGGAATATTCATAAAACTGTTAATCCAATTGGTAAAATAATCAAGCTGCCACTGTACCGGAGTTGGAACATGTTTACAGCGAGGATATTTGTGCATTATGTCCAGACTTAGGTTTGTGGAGTTGAAAGTCAGTGTCTTGCTTTCTAATTTAAAATGGAATTTTTTTTTATGCAAAAAATAAATTAATTAATAATAAATAAATAAAAGGCTAGAGGATCGTTGGAGTTGTAGTTTAGGAATATCTGAGGCCTGGCGTTTGAGCCTCCTGCCTCAGTCTACTTGGAGAGAATAGGATTCTGGCTCACGAGAGGATATGTCATTTTGGTGCGGCTGTCTTTGAAGTCCATGGCAACTGACTGTGACCAACACTGGACCTGGTTATGGGTAATATTGCAATTTTTATGATAACTGGCAATATATTAATTTTCCTGACCTTCTGTTATCATAATATAAAGTATATGGATCCATTAGGGAGGAGAAAACACACACAGACACACACCATCTCTCTTTCTCTTTATATTATATTAAATTTTGATTTCTCCCTACTTCTAGTCCTGTAAATATTCCTTTTCATTTTCTTTCTCTAATCTGTATGGCAGCCTAGGATAAGCTCTGGAGCAGTATAAAACATTTACATTTGGCACTTACACCTTATTTTTAATTCAGTATTACACTATTCGTGCTCTTTTATCTATTCTTTATATGTGGATTTGTTTGTGATACCCACAATGGCAGCTACAACATATTTAGTCACTGGACACCCCTTACTAAGAGCTGAATTTACAGGCTCAGATATGGGTACATGTGCCCTTTAAATAAGAAGCACTTTTCATGCAAGGTTGGATCACGATTTCCCTATTTTTTCATCATTTGTGGGTGCTGAATATATACTACAGAAGGGAAGGTTTCCACCTCTTAAAGGACTAGAGCCAATCATTTGTCTTGTGATGTGTAGGTGACTGAGTTATAACAAGTGTCACATTCTCACACTGTTAACGGATGGAGTATATCAGAGTGTAATAATGTATATCTAGATTTAGTGAATAAAGCTATTGGAGTTTTATTCGCTAAAGCTCCATTGACACCAACTAGACAGGCCATAACCAACTGGTTGCGTACAAGGCTATTTGGGCTGGACAATCCAGACATTGTTCCCACTATTTAACAATATCCAGATTTTGCAATTCTGGATACAAACTAACCAGAATTGTTTCTGGGTTTCAGCCTGTCTGAATGCTGCTGAACCGGTGAAATTCTGGCCTGGATTTTAAATGTCCAAACTATTTAGCCACTGACTACACTAGGAGCCAGCTGGCAAATAGTCCTGATCATTATGGTCTGCTAGGAATAAAAGCAAACAAATAATATACAAAGGTGCATCTTACTGGTTGTGTGATACACATTTCTTTCATATTTTATATGGAAAAATTTAGATCAAAGGTGATATAAGTAAAATGAGATCACAAAGTCCAAATATATTTATAGATGGTTTTGGTTGGATATGTAAAGTACTAAAGCGTATACAATTGGATTTTAAAAATCTGTATGAAAGTCTCTCACTGTTTTTCTCATTCTTGTAGTCATGTTGTCTCGTCAACGATCAACTTGCTTCCTTTTAGACCCTCCTCGTGTACAAGGGTCAGACTTTGTCGAGATGCTTCGCCTCATTGATTACCCAGGAGCTAGTGGCCTTAAGGGGGAGGATTTTGACTGGCTTTCTGAAGGCAATGAAGAAGCGGAGATGTTTCTGGGCTGGCTTTGTGGGATGGTGGATCAGCGCAATGTTCTAAATGATGAACAGCTGGAGGCACATAATGCTCTTTTAGCTTCGGGTAAACCTCTCTTAGAAACAGAAGAGTTGCAGAAACTGTGCAGAACAGATGGTGGTGACGGTGAAGATGTTGATATGGGATTTGAACCAGAAGGGCATAAAGCTTTAAATGAACTGGAAGCAGAAGTTAAAACCTTGAAGACCTTGAGGTCCCATAGGCTGCGCACCCGCAACAAGATGGAGTCCCTGAGTTTGACTTTACGCTGTAATCATCTTTCACTGGCAAAGTTTGAAAAAGAAGAAGAGAAAAAACTGAATCGCATCAAGGAAACATTAGCTACACTGAACACCAAGAGCAACACAACCTTGACAAATCTGAGTGAAGCAATGAAAGAGTTTGAGGAACTACACACATCTGTTCCTAATGTCTTCCTTTCATCTCTTGATATAGAGGGATACATTGAGCTGGAGGAAAATTGCTGGGACGAAATACAATTCCTATCTATGGGACAGTTGAACAAAGAAAAAGAAGAAAGTGATAGGGTAAAGGCACAGAAAGAATTAGAAACAGAAACTGAGCGGGTCAGAACTGCGTGGGCATCGCAGAAGGTGCAGCTGAGCATAGCCCAAGGGACCCTACACAGTAAAGAGGAGGCACTCCGCTGGGTTCAAAGGACTAGAGAGGAGCAGGTGAGAATTTTTGGATTTCATTTGTAGAGCATATTCACTTTATGTGTGTGTGTGTGTGTGTGTGTGTAAATATATATGTAATTTTTTTTTAAAAAAATTCTGTTTTTAATTAATTTCTCATTTGTTTCCCAGACATGGGATCCTCAGCAGATCCCATTACTAGAGCGTGAGATTCAGACTCTAGAAGCAGAAGTGGAATTCCTTCAGACAAACCGAATTCCTGCTCTGGTTTGTGAATCTTCCATAGGACCATGCCTGTCTGCTCAAATGGAATGGTTGATGGTAGAGAAACAGAGATTGACTCGGTTAGAGGATGGCCATGTTCCATTGACAAGCGCGATGCATCATCAACTGTCACGCCTTCAATTAATTGAAAGGGGCTTCTATGAAGAGCTGAAGGTTCATTCATTTATCTTTCAGGAGATAAAGGTTGTTCAAGAAAAAAATGCAACCAGGTTAAATAATTTGGAAAAGCAGCTCCAGGGCCCCAGGGATCTATGGATGTCATTACAGTTATTGAGTCCTATACGAATTGCTAGCAAGGACCACACCGCAGTGAGGTAATGAGTCGCAACGTATCCCTGACACTCTCCTTTTTCATGTTTTGACTATTTCTCTATTGCTTACACTAAACTTATTTCCATGTGTGCAGAGTCAACACAGTGATTTTAGTTCATTTTTGTTGTTGTTTATTACCCTTTGTAAAATCCAATTTGCTCCATCCTAGTGTGTATCCCAGATCTTCACTGAGTTTCTATTCCCAGCTTTTTTTTTTTTTTGCCAGTCTCTCAGTCTGACAGTCTCTTTTTCCATTTTATTTTTCAGTGGGTTTTTATCTGTCTCATCCTGTATGTTTCTCTGGTCTTTAACTCTGTAATTTTTATCCTAACTAGCATTTTCCATGTGTGGTGGCTGTGAATTGTTCATGTAATGGTTCTGAGCAGTGTGAGGGGATGTCTGTGATTGGTCCCCACACAAACACTTTTATTTTACTCCCCTGGTGTTACTGCACAAGCCAAAGTTAAAGACCCCACACTTCACTGCATCGTTGAAGAGAAACCGTTCTATTCCTGGAGATCGTTTTATATCCCTGTCCATGCAGCAGGTAAATTAAACTTTAATCAAACACTGTAAGCTCCTGCATATAGAAGGCTATTAACAGAGCAGGAGGTAAGAAATTCTAAATTAAATGGAAGGGAAGGAAGTGTAAACATTAGATCTCTCTTTACAGGAAGTGTTTAGGAAGGCTGTGTAAGTCACATGCAGGGAGGTGTGGCTAGGGCTGCATAAACAAAGTGATTAACTCCTAGATGGAAGAGAATTGAGCAGTAAGACTGTAGGGACATGATCTATACACACACATCTTTTCATAAAGCTCAAGTACTTGTGGTGATCCTAAACCATCCCACTGCCATTTGTTTGAATGTATTTTATTGTATGTTTCCTATTTGGCCAAAAACCTCATATTTGTATTTGTAGCAAGATGTTCGTCATGTTTTAGTTTGCTTCTATTTCACGAAATTTTGAACTAATCAAATACAAAGTCATGAAATTGGCTCCAAATTAATTTTCACTGGGAATCTGTCTTGCTCAGATCAGGTTGATTCAAAAAAATAACTATCAAGTCCAATTTGTGCCTCTGAGATTAGCAGAGAGTAAGTGGATAATATTTCAATGTATTACAATTCTTGTAAATGTAATGGGCAATGGACACTTCCCTCGTTATTTAATGGTATATTTACTAATATGGATTTGTGAATATGCAATTTCATCTTCATTCCCTGTCAATCATTGTTACAAGCTCTGTCTTTTGTACCTGGCAGTCAGCATTGAGAGAGTACACAGAAATGAGAAGGAAATGAAACAATTGTTCGAATTATCCTCTTCATTTGCAATATGTGCATTTATAAAGCAGTTTGCTAAATCTTTTATTCACATTTTAAAAGAGAATGGAACATGCCATGAAAAAGTAAAGATCAAGTTATAGGGGATTTATTAATATTTTACCCAATGGTGTGAATTCCAGAGAAGTGACTGTTTCCCTTTAAATGAATATAATCTGTGTAGAAATGAGTTTAGCCTCCTCCCTTGACTCCATTTCCCTATAATACTAACTAGTAGTCTGGGCCTGAATGGTTAATCATTTTGCACAGAGCTCAGTAGTCAGGTTAGCAGAAACCGATTCAAAGAACTGAATGGTCTAACCCTTTTAAACAGACTATTTAGGAAGTCATTCGGCACCTAATACTGACACCAATATTTTGTTTCAATGTTTCCCTTTAAACCACCCCTATTACATCTAGCTCATGATGGCTCCAAATTAAATTGCACTCTCCATAGTTACTGGCAGCAGCTGTTTTTTTATTGCCTGTTACCAGCTGCCTAACTCTTTCGGCTTTTCTTTTTCATATAAGGTAAAGTGCAAAGTTCCACGTTTTAAGTCTGTCAAATGTCCTTTCTATGTCTCATTTGGAATTACTCACCTTGTGTCAGGTTTGCTGGCTGCTTCCCTCCTGTCTCCGGTGTTCCGTCCGACACTGCACGCTTGCACACAGCGTATATTTATGTGCGACGGAATTCGCCAAACCAAATTCAGCACATAAATATAAAGTTAGAGGTCAAACTGAAAAGGTCAATTACTGTCCACAAATTATATGTAATTCCAAGCTGACCAACGGGAGATAGGACCGCTATATGTAAAGTCTACTTGCTGTGATTTGGTCTATGTGTTTTGGTCCCCCGATAAAGATACCTTGTTTCTTTCTCTCTCGTAGGTTCTCATCTATGCTTAGTGAACCTACCAATAAAAAGGAACTATTTCCTAAATATGATGTTTTGGGGATGAAGGGGGCATCTCTAATACATGAATTAATATCCCTAAGAAAGGGTCTAAGAGCTACACTGCCGCAGATATCAAGCTTGGAAACGGAGTGCGAAAAACTCCAGCAAAGTCTGCTGCGTGGTACCCGGAATCTGCAACTTCGAGACCCAGTCAGTGCTGTTTAGTATTTTAACAAACGTGTATTTTTCTTGCAATCTTACTAGAGACCTGCAACATGTGTAGTGTATGTATATAGCTGTACTGACCTTTATTGATTATTGGTAGGCAGATATCACAATTTTATTACCCGCATTTGAGGTCCGTATTCAACCCCATTACAGCCTTTAAGTCAGTCTGTGGCACACCGTGGGTGGCTGGTGACGTGCTTGTTGAAACCCATTGTATGACAGTGTAAGGGGTCGTCCAATGGGTCAGGACCTGCAGCACATCATCTCAGTGTGAGTTTCCTGTTCTGTAGATCATGCATCATTCTCCACTAGATTTAAAGCTGAATTATACAATCAGACGTGTACGTACGTATATATTTTTGTTTGTCTGTAAATGGTGAATTTTAATTTTTTTAGTTCTATATAAATACAGATAACACATTGAAGATTAATTGACTGCAATATAGAAATAGGTGTACTGGGGTTGGCTTTAAACAAAGGATAATATTGGTGTGAAGACCCCAGTCTGACACTCCATAGACTAAACAACTTTCATCCAGCTACACTGAAGGCCTCTGGGTCTTGCCTCTTTTTAGTCTTTGTGCTGGTATGTCCGTTCATTCTTCGCATGTTTCAATCTCTTGTCTATGCAGGCACTCACACAATCATTCGAACAGCTTTACGGGGCTGTCTCCCAGTTTAACCAGTGGTGTCTGGACTGTCTCCGGGATAAAGAACGGAAGAAGCACATTATTCAGACCTCACGCCTGGAACAAGAGCGGAGACTGTATGTCCTCTTTTACCGAGACCCTGCTCTCCTCGCTAGTACTGTAGAAGAACTTGAACAACGTGTGCACGAGTTGACAGTGGGATAAATCTAAAATATGTTTAAGGTGTTTTAATAAATTGAGCATTTGTATCTATGTAGTAGATGCCTGTGTGTTGGCCTGTTGATGCTTGCATTGATGATCTAGGACAGAGTTTCCCAATTGGTGTTCCGCGGAACACTAACTGGGATTCTGCCAAAAATTGTGAAAATAAAATGGCTGCGGGCGGCGAGGGTGCAGTGAGCAGTGATCTCCCTGCTCATCTCCCTCGCGCACACAGTGATGTCGGAGCCGGAATATGAGGTCACTCCGGCTCCGGCATCACTAAGAGGCGAGCAAGGGAGTTGAGTAGGGAGATCACTGCTCCCTCGCAGCCCGCATGCCAGCAGCCCCACTAGACCACAAGGACTTCATGCCAGCACTCCTAAAAGTAAGGGGGCTTGGTGGAGTAAAATGTGAAAAAAAATTATGTGTGTCTGTTAGGGAGTGTGTTTGTGTGTTTGTCAGTGAGAGTAAATGTGTGCTTGTCAGTGAGTGTTTGAGTGTATGTGCTTGTCAGTGAGAGTGTGTGTGTGTGTATCTGTGGGTGCAAGTATGTGTATGTCACTGTATGTATCTGTGTGTGTGTATTTGTGAGTCAGATACACACACACACACACACACACACACACAGGCGCATACAAAGACAGATACATACATACATACACACTGTGTGTCAAGGTGTGTGTATCTGTGTGCCACCATCTGCCAGCCAACTTTGAAACACACACATTGTGTGTATCTGTGTGTCAGATATACAACTGCCACATACAAACCGATACACATTGTGTGTGTATCTGTGTGTGTATAAAGGAAAAAAAAGGCACAATTGTAATCTTTTTGTTTTGGGGGGTGGGTTCCACGATGTTGACACACTATGTCAAAGGGTTCCACAGAAAAAATTAATTGGGAACCCCTGATCTAAAGCACAATTTCTCTTTGGTGCTACAGCTATTGTGGACTATGTTTCCCATAATGCTCAGATGGCTAAACAAAATGAGAAATTTAATTTACGTTTGCAGTGGCAAGGTTAGCCGGAACTGTCCCACCGGAAGTGGAACGTACTTTGTTTATATATATTTTGTAATAAACCTGAACAAGCAATTTGTTCTATGCAATCACTGCTCCAAGGTTTACACACATTCTGCTGAGGTAGTCAAACTGTGTATTAAAAGAAAACTGTCATAAAATAACCAATTTTCAATTCATTAAATATAATACATTAAAAATATAATACAAATATTAAAATGCCATCAAGGATCATGCGGTTGCATTGTTCGGTTGGTATGCCCTCAGCTACAGACAACTCTCCCGAACAAGGTAAAAGGCACAGCAGTCAGAAGCGTCCCGGTTTGCTCTATGAAGTATATACTTACCTGATGAATTTATGTAGAGCAGGATTTTATGAGATACATAGTTAATTTCCTCAGGTAAAGTTCCATTCATCAGATTGGATGAGAACAACTGCCAGGTAGTGTTAGCAGCCATAATGTTGCTGCTATCTACATATACCTAACCCAGTGCTAGAATCGGAGTGTACCATGATATATTGATAAGTGATTGATTTCCACTGTTCAAATCTCTGTCCAATAAAAGGGAGTGCTCAGTCCACACCATGCAAAACTTGAACAAAAATGATTTATTGTGTGCAGAATTGAGAATTCTGTCTGAGTGACAGCTCTGAGAGGCAGGGCTAGTTGTAAGCTGCTCTAGTGAGTGCACTGTGCCCTATCGATTTTGCAATAATCCCACATTTTGCTGGAGCTTAATGTGTTCCTTTAGTATCGCGTGCATTTTTATGGCAAAAGGGAGATCTTCTAATGCAACACTGAATAATCCTCAATGACTTCAAATAGTCCAACGTTCCATATAATCGATCCCAGTTATGGCCGCTGATTCTTTCCCATGTATTAATCTCTGTAATCTGTTTGTTTATTCAAGAAAGTAATAAAGTGCTCAGCCTGCAATTCATTTTTGTAGTTTCAATTATTTATATTCCTGATAATCTAATCTACAGTTTTGCATTAGTTACTAGTTTGATTTTTTTTTTTTTTTTCATACAAGGCGCTTTTTTTTTTTTTCTTTCTTCCTAGTTATTTCTACTACTTTGTTTGTGGGGATTTTATTGTTTAACTCTCTAAGTAATTACTTCTTCATGTGCTTCCTGTCAGACTGACTCGATTCTCGCCATGCTGGCATCAGCTGAGTATTTCCTTTGTAGTTCCGTTAATGTACCTGCTGGGGCATTAACGCAGCCTATCTCTACATCACTCTGGGGTTCAGTCACCAGGGCAGGACCAATCCGCTGCCTAGGGCCCATGAGTAAGTGCTTGGCCTCATTAATCATCTCTATGAAAAACGAAGGCGGCCTCAATCTGGTAACTTGGTTAGGGCCCCAAACCTGTAATATTCCGGAGCAAAGTGCTAAATAATTCCCAGTCGTTATGGAAACCAACAGTGTCTGTCTCTCAACATTAAAGGAATGCTATAGGCACTAAAATAACTTGTTATAGTGCCTTAAATATTTCCCCTTCTTCTGTCCTCCAACGCTATCTATATAAATTGTTTTTAAAGGCTAGAAAGCACACCTCCAAACCAAGCCGTCTAATTCAGAGAGTTGGGACTGTTACTTCCCAGCTCTCATGCCCATTCGTACTGTGAGGTCAGCACATGCGCATTGTCACATTCATGAATTCTCATAGAGAATCATAGTGTTTAATTATCCTCTGTGAGAGCAGTTTTATAGAAGGATTGTGGCAAGAGTCACGCATGCGCCTAGGGTCCACAATGCTTCTAAATGAGATACTCTGGATTGGACCATTGTCTGGTGACCTAAAGAGTTCAAAAGAGGTAAATCAGAGTGCTGCGAAGGGGCTGCTTACAGCACAGGAAGAAAGGTAAGCAGATATGGTGCTTCGGCTCGTCCAAATTTGATTAACGAGAAAAGATTTGGGAAAATAAATCAGACAAGTCGAAAGGGTACAAAAAGGGCCAATTTGTGACCTGAAACATGATGTGAAGCATCCTTAAAATATAAGTATTTTACAGTACACTGCTATGCACATTTTCCAGATATTTGGTTCACAGATCAAGTGAGAAAAGTAACGAATAGAGGGGAAAAGAGGAGCAATACACAAATCTCAATATATTCCAATACATGGATTTTTTTATTTATTTTTTTAAGGTTTTTTTTTACCTCTATATCTCACTTGGTATGTGAATAAACTCATTTAGTGGCTGTCCCCTAACTATCAATCATCTTTTTTCCATCAATCATCTTACGATGAATTGCAGCTCATATCGAAACTGAACTCCAAATCTAGTAGGAATTGATCATTCTAAAGAAGAGTTTAATGGCTAGGCAGCAACATACATACCACGGTCGCAGGGGTCGCAGCTGCGGAATCCATCGGGTGGCCCATGCTGTCAGGGCCACCCGAAGGATATGGATTGTCAGGGGGCCCAGGCAGCGCTGGGCTCTTTAGCAGCCCGACCAGGCCCCCTGTAATGACATCACTGCTGGGAGGAAGTGACTGCACATCACTCCTCCCAGCATACACCGAGCCCGCAAGGGAGGAAGAACAGGGAGTCAGAGTGGGAACTCTGAATTCCATCAGGCTGAGCCCCCAGTGGACCCCAGGGAAAGTCAGAAGGTAGGAAACATTTTCTATATGTGTGTGTCTCTGTATGTGTGTGTGTCCGTGTCTCTCTGTATGTGTGTCTGTGTGTGTCTCTGTGTGAAGAAACCTCCCTTTATTACACTATTTTCTGCCTATTGCATTCGGTAGATGTAACTACTGAACAAAGACCACGCCCCTGGCTTGTTAAACTGCTTCAATTGATGCCTCTGTCTGTGCGGCCAGCGTTCGTACTGCCGAACGCCACGTGGCAGAGAAAACCGCGGCCATCTTTGTTCATGCGGTGTATGGAACTGAAATCGGACACTCGACTTCCCGAACACCGGTCTCAAACAGACGAACGCTGGAACTCTACTTCCGGAATAGCTAGAAGAGCGCTATTCGGTACTTTGGTGCATTCGACAAAGGGGAACAATCACTGCTATGAGCCAGGGGGATCCATTCGGTACTTTGTTCGCTTTTCTCCTTTTTCTAAAATGACCGGCAAAACCCACCAAACTCGTGGAACTGTTTTGGGCATCCAGCCCAGGGTGAGCCGGTCACAGAAGACCTCCACAGTTTTTAAGAACACCTGAACCGATCTGGGTGAAATTTGGATATGTTGGTCACCCAGATCAGGGCTATCAGGGGACATGTTATTTGTGGGGATACTCCAAGTATAAAGGGGTGTTCCAGTTATTGGGGAAAAATGTGTTTTTTCTGCGTGGAGATAATCAAGTTATTATTTTATCAGACTTGATTATCTGCAGAGCTAGGGGAGGGAACTGTGGGTGTGTGTTATGTTTTTATGGTACTCGATTGGTTAATCTTTGTCCCTCCCTGAGGGATGTCCCCTTGCATGGGGAGGAACTTGCATAAAAGCCTGTGTGCACCCATTAAAAGTTAGTTCAGTTGTACCCTTCTTTATGACTTCGGCTGATGTTTGGGGATTCGTGTGTTTCACTAAGGGAATCATCTTCTGAAACTATTGGGATTACTATATGGTTCATCTACTTTATCTACTGAACAGAGGGCTATAATCACTAAGGCTCTGGCGGTTTTGGAGGAAACTACCGAATGAGGTTTAAATACACTTTGTTTCCTTACACTCTGTATGTGTGTCTGTTTCTCTGTATGTGTGCCTGTATGTATTTGTGTCTCTCTGTATGTATTTGTGTCTCTCTGTATGTACTTGTGTGTGTCTCTGTATGTACGTGTGTGTGTCTCTGTATGTGTGTGTGTCTATGTATGCAGTGGCGTACACACAATCCATGGGGCCCTGTGTGTCTGTGTGTCTCTGTATGTACGAGTGTGTGTCTCTGTATGTGTCTATGTATGCAGTGGCGTACACACAATCCATGGGGCCCCGTATGTATGTGTCTGTGTCTCTGTATGTGTCTGTGTCTCCATGTATATATGTGTCTGTCGAGTGGTGTATGTGTGTGTGTGTGTGTCTGTGTATATGTGTCAGGAGGGATAGGGGGGCATGGATCGGGGGAGAGAGGGGGTGGGGCCCACGGATTGTGTGTACATGACTGTGACTTGGCTATACTATATCTCAAAGGGGAACTGGGCTGTTGATTAAAAGCAGTGGGAGTTGTGCTGGCATGTTAGTTGGGGTAGTTCTGGGAGGCGAGGCAGCAGGTAAGATGTGTTCAGGATGTCTCCTAGTCCAGCAGTGGATGCAGTTGTGCCTGGGCTGGTGGGATTAACGCTCAGTGCTCTGCATGCCTGGATTGGCCTACATTGGCATATTTATTGGAGGACCCCAATAAAAATTTGGTAAATTTAAAATCTCAAATTAGTTTAAAATGATTTTCTAATAGATCATTACTACACCAAAACACTGCAGTGCTAGGTTCCAGAAACACCTAGGGCTTGAGCCCAAAGAAGATTTCAATGTCCAGTATACTAACAGAGAGGTGTAGATATGCCATGACAATTCCCCATCTTTTTATGTCACGGCTAATCCCCTCTACCCATGGACAGCGGGCTGTTAATCTTCTCCAGGATCTCAGTGAATGCACAGCCAGAAAAGAACAGATGTTACACAGAGAGGTATTCACTGCAATACTCATACTGCCTAATAGAGGGTGTGCATCAAAGTTCTGTTTCCCAACACCCCATGACAAAAGTAAACTAGGAGCACCACCCCCTAACCCTAAGTAGCCTGTTGGAGCACTATACTACGGAGCTTTCTTTTTATAATAGGTGGCCGTCTCGAGAAGCAACTGCCTGGTGTCAAATTAAAACAAACATCACACTAATATCCTCCTCCTCCTTCCACCAACTTTAAAGGTCTGGGGCTTAAGGGCCCCATAGATGTTCCTCTCCCCACCCAGCAACACCTATGCCCCAAAATATTTCTACGATCTGGCGCATGACTACAACAAACTCCACATACACGGATTTAATGACCTGATGATGTGTACATTTTAAAGATTCCTCATTGATCATTTAGACCAATCACTGCACACATAAACACTGTACCCATGATATAATTAGCAACATTGATAATATAAAAAATACATGCATAATATCCAAAAAGTCCATTTAAACACCTTAAAGAAACTGGAATGCCACTATGAAATATATTGGGTTAATCACACGCCTGCCATTTGTTAGTTTAATTCCCTGGGCTTTCTATAACCATCATTTAAATCCCTCCAACGGTGCCACATTTTTTTGTTGTTAATTACGTGAAAATGGCATATCAAGGCCACCATTGCAACATGCACAATGAATTCATGGTATAGTATGTTTATGTTTAATGACCTGCCGGTCGAAACGCATAAGGTGTTTTTTTTGACCTTTTCTCCCTGTTAGAATAAACTATTCTTTTGAAATATTTGTTTCTGGCATTTTTGTTGCCTAAATTCACAGTACAGGCCTGGTTTTAAAAAAGATAATGTTTTCTGACTTTAGCCGCATTACTGGCAGCTATCTTGTGACACCAGAGAGAAGTCAAAAAACGGAAGCAGAGTTTTGTGGGATTTTTTCCCCAGCATCCTAGAAAATGATGGATTAGCTGAGTTTTTCCTTCTCGTCACCTGACACGGACAATATATCGGAGACACTGAGAGCAGTGGATAAACCCCAATCACAGGCAGACTTTATATGGCGTAAAAGGAGGAGTCATAGAAGCTGAAGCAAGTATTATAATGTGCACAGTCCTCTCTCTCATTTTCCCAATATCTCAAATACTAATATTTCCCATAACCCTCCCCCTCCAGTCTGGTCGGTTCTCAGGCTCTCCCTATTGTCTGTGGGCAGGAAGTGCACAGGGTGCAGTATGTCCTACAACGATATAGGATGGGGGGGTGAGTGCTTTTCCTGCCTCTGACCTCACGTATTCTCTTATTGTATGTTTGGGAAGGAGGTGTGTGGGAAAGGGGGTGATAGTAATGCCGGCATACTCGCAGGCTGCCGAGAACCTGTCTTTTCTGGGTTAATTTAAACGCCACGATGGGCACCCTCTGGATATGGCTATGTCTACTTTCTCTGCCTTTGTGCCATGGTAAGATATTGAATCGTGGGCTCAGGGCAGGTGTTAAGGGAGAGTCAGGAGACCAGAATAGATGGGTGCTGACAGAACTAAGTGTAGGGTCAGCTCTGGAATAGCAGAAAGAGCAACAGGGCAGGATGCAGGTGTTCAGTGTTGTTGTTGGATGGTAAGGGGTCAATACAAAAATAACAGAGAGAGGAGAAAGGTCCATTTAGGGCTCTCTATGAAATTACATACAGAATGCAAAAATGGAGTTACACTACGATATTCCTAAAATTATGACCTTAGAGAATTGACACAGGAATTCCTAAATTATTAGACAAATTGGACAAACTGTAATACTAAGATTTCATTAGATAATGTGTTATAATATTGCGATTTCATGAGATAATGTGTTCTAATACTGCCATTTCATGAGATAATAATGTATTATGATACTGACATTTTAGGTGTTTAATAACGTGTTATAATGCAGATCTCATACATATAATAATAATCGTGTGTATAATAACGTGATATAATGCAGATCTCATACATATAATAATAACCAGGTGTATAATAACATTATATACTGATCTCATAAATATAATAATAATAATCAGGTGTAATAATACCGATCTCATTAGCATAATGTGTTGTAATACAGATATTCCATGTGTTTAATAATGTGTTCTAATACAGTTCTCATAAGTATAACAATAATATGTTACAATACAAATATTTCAGGTGCATAATGAGTTATAGTACTGAGATTTAATGTTTTAGAATACTGAGATTTAATATGTATAATGTGTTATAATACTCAGATTTCATTTGTATATTGAGTTATAATACTGAGATTTAATATGTTATAATACTCAGATTTCATTTGTATATTGAGTTATAATACTGAGATTTAATGTGTTATAATACTGAGATTTAATGAGTTTTAATACTGAGATTTAATGAGTTATAATACTGAGATTTAATGTGTATAATGAGTTATAATACTGAGATTTAATGAGTTATAATACTGAGATTTAATGTGTATAATGAGTTATAATACTGAGATTTAATGAGTTATAATACTGAGATTTAATGTGTATAATGAGTTATAATACTGAGATTTAATGAGTTATAATACTGAGATTTAATGTGTATAATGAGTTATAATACTGAGATTTAATGTGTTATAATGCTGAGATCTCACGAGTATTATAATGTTATTATAACACTGATATTTCATAACCATAAGACTAAAATGTAATGTAAATAATCATGTTATGTTAGTGAGATTTCATTACTATAATATTTTGCTATAAAAATAACATGTCCTATATAAAGTGTTAATAAAACAATGAATTTCCATAACTGTAATAGTCTTGTAACACAGGAATTTCATGTGTACAATAATGTGTTCTAACAAAATAACGAGTATTATCTGGTATAATATTATGTATTTACAAAGTATTTGAACATAAAAAGTCCATTTTATTTGCTTTTCTAGCTTGGGTTAGAATCAGAGAGATTCTAAATTTATTTAGTTCCCAACAAAACAGGAAAAATAACAGGAAAGGAGGTCGCTCCCCACCCCGTTAATGTGCCTTTTACTCCACTCTCACATCTCATCATCTAAATACTCTGTTATAGTTACCATTTAATATATACACTATATACCCATCAATTAATATATACTGTTATACTCATCATTTAATATACAATGTTATACTCTTCATTTAATATACACTATATAATCATCAATTAATATACCCTGTTGTACTCATCATTTAATATACAGTTATAGTTATCATTTAATTTATACACGGCTTAGCCTTTCCTATACACAGACTACGTGATACATATCCTCCAATAGACCGCATTCAGCCTATCATACATACAGATAATGTATGAATAGCATTCAGCTACAGTATACACAAATAATATACAGACAGCATTCAGCTACAGTATACACAAATAATACATAGCATTCAGCTTACAGTATACACAAATAATATATAGACGGCATTAGCTACAGTACACACAATATATTACAGCCTACAGTATACACAAATAATATATAGACAGCATTCAGCTACAGTATACACAAATAATATATCAGACAGCATTCAGCCTACAGTATACACAAACAATACATAGCGTACAGCCTACAGTATACACAAATAATATAGAGATATCATTCAGCCTACAGTATACACAAATAATATATAGACAGCGTACAGCCTACAGTATACACAAATAATATATAGACAGCATTCAGCTACAGTATACACAAACAATACATAGACAGCGTACAGCCTACAGTATACACAAATAATATATAGACAGCATTCAGCTACAGTATACACAAATAATATATAGATATCATTCGGCTACAGTATACACAAATATTATATAGACAGCATTCAGCTACAGTATACACAAATAATATATAGACAGCATTCAGCCTACAATATACACAAATAATATAGAGATATCACAGCCTACAGTGTACACAAATACTATATAGACAGCATTCAGCTACAGTATACACAAACAATACATAGACAGCACACAGCCTACAGTATACACAAATAATATAGAGATATCATTCAGCCTACAGTATACACAAATAATATATAGACAGCATTCAGCCTACAGTATACACAAACAATACATAAACAGCGTACAGCCTACAGTATACACGAATAATATAGAGGTATCATTCAGTCTACAGTATACACAAATAATATATAGTCAGTATTCAGCCTACAGTATACACAAATAATATATAGACAGCATTCAGCTATAGTATACACAAATAATATATAGACAGCATTCAGCCTAGAGTATACACTATATAGACAGCATTCAGCTACAGTATACACAAACAATACATAGACAGCGTACAGCCTACAGTATACACAAATAATATAGAGATATCATTCAGCCTACAGTATACACAAATAATATATAGACAGCATTCAGCCTACAGTATACACAAACAATACATAGACAGTGTACAGCCTACAGTATACACAAATATTATATAGACAGCATTCAGCTACAGTATACACAAATAATATATAGATATCATTCAGCCTACAATATACACAATTAATTTATAAACAGCATTCATCCTAGAGTATACACAAATACTTACAGTTATTAGCCTAACATATATACTCAGAGAGTGCTCAGACAATGCTATACACTTTAACGGGGCTTAGCCTAACTTATATACTTACAGAGCTCGCCATGATCTATACAACCTACAATATATGATTTAACAGTGCTCAGTCCATGCACCCCCATAATTAAAGAGAAACTAACCATAATTAAAGAGAAAATGACCAACTCTTTTGAAATTTATTTTTTAAATAATGCATACGTTTTAAATAGTACCATGAAAGATCCTGCAGGATATTTCCGGCTATATAAGTAGGTTTTGGGTTATACAATAAGACTTCAGTTCATATATAATCCGACTAGATTGTTTTTTTACTGAATCCTGAACTAATGTTGGACTTTTAGGATAAGCATGGTACGTTCAACTGGTAAATGTTTACAGTGAACGAGAGACAAATTCTTATTCCTGAAAGCAAGAGATAGCAAAAATATTAGCAAAACGGGAAAGATGATTATAAAAAAACGAAGATTTTTTTTAAAGTTTCCAGAAGTTTACATTATTTTGGAGAATTACGGATACAGTGCAAAAACACAACATATATTGCAATCTGGCAATGGTAATCGATCGATAATGGTTTTTAATGAGCATCCAGTATTGTGTGACAGTTGTCAAAGCAATCACAGACAAATTTCACAAACTCCTAATCTGTTGGTAACGCCGATAAAATCAGAAAACTTTATCTGCTTAATACCAGGTCTAAACCAAGATTCCACTGACAATCTTGCAATGTCGAGCTCAATAGGCCATCATTGCAAGGTTAATAACAACAAAAATGGCACCACTGTAGGTTTTCAGTTACATCACAGGGTGAAGGCAGATTTCTAACAGACTTTTGAAGCAATCTGACCTCGCACTTTAAACATATATAAATAAGAAATTCTTTGCAACAAATATTACAACAGAACAGGTATTTTTATCCCCAAAAATCCCAAAAAGCCCCTGACTTATGAAACAAGAAGCATGCAATATATTTCAGTTATTACACTAAATGTTGTGTGCCTCTTGTTCAAATGTTATTGTTTAAAATCCGTGGATGAATATTATATAGGTATTTTATTTTTAAAAGGCATGTATTCTTGAATATTCTCCCTACTTTGACTGATATAAATTGGAAATTGGCGTATTATTACGTTATCTCTTCTTTGTCTGTAATGTTGATGACCATTAATAAAAATATTTTAAAAAATATCCAGGAATAATATAGAAACAATATAAAAAGACAAAAAGAGAGGTTTAATCTCCATCAATTGCTCCAGTTTGAATAAGTATACACCTCTCTTGAACATTCCCAGATTAGCGAGTTGTTTTCCAAAATTAGAATTAAAATGTATTTTATTGGGATTAGAACTTGATTTACACAATATGCCTAGCACAGTAAAACAGTCTAATATTTAGGCAAGGCACTGTCACATTACATGTGACAGGACATCCTGGAAAAGAGAACAGATAAGTTAAATGAAATAGGCAGATTAGAGTAAAGACAGACATTTGAGAATCAGAATCATTGGGGGTCTTTGCTTTTGTTGCATATTTCTCTGTGTGTGTGTGTGCGTGTGCGTGTGCGTGTGTGTGTGTTTATATATATCTATAGGTACGACCATCTTTCTTCAGCTTCTGCTATTTCATCCACCAGGAGTCTGCTGTAGAGTACAGCAGTGGACATAAACAAAAGACAGCAGAACTCTCCATAGAACAGATCTCAAGATTCACAATAAGATGCCCATTGGGAACTGACAAAACATGACAAAACATTCTTTAGTCAAGTTTTGTCAACATCAGGCTTGGCCATAAGACAAAGTAGTCCCGACTGTTAATTGCATTGGAATCTAAGTGAAATCCCAACGTGCTCAATATGAGCATTTCATAAAGATTTTATTATAATGCAATAATCAGAAATGATATTGTGGCGACAGAGCCGCTTCAAGAATAAACATTTTTTAAAAAAAGATATGGTTTACATAGGGATTGCTACAGTAGAAACACAGTGCTGATGAAAATTAAACTCTTCAAAATGTGAATACAGGTAAAGTATCAGCCAAAGCATATTGAGATGTGTATTAAACAGCTAAAGGAGAAGGAGGGGTGGGGTGGAAAAAAAAGTCATAAAATCAATTGGATGGTGATAGATTGAAAGAGAAAGAGGGAGAAAAACTAATTGCAGGGAAAGAGGAGAGACAAATCAAAGGGAGAAAAATTGGATTTTGCGAAAGATGGGTTTAGTTGATTAAACAAAATTGTATGGTAAAATATAGGCAAGAGTCTGAGATAAAATGCAAGGTCTGTTCAGAAGGTATCCAGCCATGTACATGAAAAATAGCGACATCTATTGAAGAAGATACACGATACAAGAAACATTGTACATAGGACAATGACGCCTTAATCCCCTTGAAAGTAGGCATTTTGGGACCTCAAACAAATCTCCCAATGTTTCTTCCACTGTTTAAAACACTCTGCGGAATCCTTTGTTGGCATCAGCTGCCTCATAATTTTTAAGTGAATCTCATCGATGGTCTGAAATCTCTTCCCTTTCAAAGGTGATTTTAGTTTTGGGAAAAGTCAGAACGTGGATCAACAGCAGGCCTCCCAGAACGTGGATCAACAGATTCTCAACCATCTTTGAAGTGTTTGTGCCACACTTTTATTTGCATTGCACTCATTACATTGTCCCCGAAAGCCTTCTAAATCATCTCAATAGTTTCTGTGGAGGAACGTTCAAACTTATGGCAAAATTTGATGCAGATCTGTTGCTCTACTCGCTCAGTCATTGTGAATGTGTTGGCCACACAGTACACATGCTCCCTCAGAGGCGTCTAGAGCCCCCTAACAAGTACAGTGAAGTTGTCATTGTTCACGCATGGACATTCCAGTCAACTCTTCTTGTCTGCCAGGTTACATCGATGTCGCCCAAACCGTTCTCCTTATATTAACAATGGCTGGACTTTTTCCGGAAAGACCTTGTATACTGAATGAAGAAGGTGCGGTGTTTGTTAAGCTATGTGTTAAGGAAAAGTGTTGTGATTCTGGATAGTGGATTAGGTGGGAATATTTAAGAAATATTGAAAACTGAGGGTTATAAGATAATAATGAGGAGAGGGAAGAATTATAGTGTTGAGGACGGTTAAGGAGCTTGTGGAGGAGAACCTGATTTAAATACATTTAAGGAGATTGGGTGATAGAGAAAGTTATATCAACTCAATAAAATGTAAATTTTGAAAAAAAATGAAATAAGACATTAGATGATGAGAAAGGTTGAGACAGTAATAAGAGATGGATTTGGACTAAGATGGATAAAATTGAATTTAGAAAGAAGGAGGAGAAAATCAATAATGTGGGAGGTAGAAGAAGTTAAGGAAGTTCAAGATAAAGAAGAAGAAAGTAAAGGTGAAGTGAGAAACTGAAGGAGGAAAGTGGTAGCTATCAAGAAATATGTTGACCGGAGATGGAGACCGTTAAGAAAGAGCAAGAACAGTATGAATGAAGATGGAGGTAGCAGAGTACAGGAGCACATGGAAGGGTTTAAAGAACAAGAAATTAAGGAGAATCTGTAAAAGAATCTGTCCGATATGTGAGATGTCCAGCATGCTAGTTATCAGAATCAATGTACTGGTAAAGGTTTCATAAAATATACTATAACGTACACAGAAGAGAAACATAACAGATAAATAATATTCTGATTCCTGGCTAGGGTGTGGATTCATGGTTTAAATCGTGAACATGCTGTGCATCTCATATCATATTCATATCTGAAAAATTCATCCATTACAATATTGTGAACATGTCTATTATAGCACAGAAAATGTCTTACTTCCTTCTTCACACATTCCTTTTCCCATTAAAGAATTCCAGCCATGTGTCTTTTTCTTCATCTTGTTCCAGGCCTGCAGTGTCAAATCAACTGCACTAATGGGGGTATGTGTTTATCACACCTGAATGGGACCCAGAGCTGCAGGTAACTATATTTTGCATATTTATATCCTCCATAATATAACGCTATTCAATTAGAACACATAGACCAAGGAATGACAATGTACAATGGGTACTGGAGGCCTGGGCAGGCTATCACTGCTATGGATTATACGTAAACAATAGCAGAGACTCCATATTGCTAGGGCAGGGTATGTGTTCATATCCTAGTTGATAAGAGAACGCAGCTTTCTAGAAAGACATGGTAATTAGTGGTGAGCAGCTGGGTGGATTCACTTACCTTCTTAATGTCCATCTATTTACATTGGTGCCATTATTTTTTTTAATATCATAGTACGTGCTTGTATATTACTTCACACATACCATGTTATCCATCTTTTTAATTTGGTGACCACACGTTGTCCATCTTTTTTGTTTAGATTACCTACCTCATTGTGATTCCTTATGGCTTAGTGCACCAGTTCCTTTTCCCAGCTTTTAGTTTAATTTAAAGCAATCTTATTTTTCATCAATGTTGCTTTAGTATACCTGCCTTATTCTTTACTGTTTATCCTTTTAGTTTAGCGCATATTTTCCATACTGTCCATCCTTCCAATACAGTGTACCTACCTTATTGGCCATTATTTTATCTTAAAGAGTTAATGCAAGCACCATAACCACTACAGCCCTGTGTAGGGAGTACCCTGGCCCCATTTCTTGTGAATAGAGAAAACAGTTTTATGGTTGATTGTCCTCTAATCTGGGTCCCTGCTGACCTCGCGGGTTCCTCTCTAGCCGCTAGCGACATCCATCTTCTGTAGTTAAGAGTTGCAGAATCCAAAAGTCAATCCTGCCGTCCTTTCATTGACTGCAAATGTCCGGTGACCATAAATCCTATTCGGTGTGTAGGAATATGCACTGAATTGATATTAGCCAGCCCAAAGATATAGTTCCTAGCTAGCTGATATCCACCCCAGTGACATTGTTGGAGGTGGAGTTACACCTCAGTCAGCAGAGGGTTTTATCTCTATATTTGCAGCTTTTTATAACCAAACGCTGCACAAACAGACTGCCGGCACCATGACCACTTCAAATAATTGACATGGTCATTGCACTTGCAGTAACCATTAATGTTCACCTGAATTAATGTCCTTCCTTATGGTTTAGTGCTGATCCAAATTATTGGCCATCCTGTTAGTTTAGGGCACAATCATTTTATTGTCCACCCTTTTACGTAAATGCACACTTACCTTATTAGCCATTCTTTTAGTTTACTGCACGTACCTTATTGAACATCCTTATGGTTTAGTGCACCTACTGTACTGTCCGACATTTTGTGTTGTTGTTCCTTTGGCAGGGTAAAGCTGAGGAAGTTGCAGGAATAGAACCTAGAATTCTGTTTTAAAGGAAGATGTAGTGACTATCCTTAGATCACCTACATCGTTCGGTGTATTGATTTAGCTATGAAATAAAACGTATCTATTTGGTAAATAGTGCAACGCGAAAAATAACAGAAACCCAGAAACCTCACCAATAAAAATGTGAATATAATATTATTATTAGGTTTGTTTGTTTTTTACTAATAATGATTTCTCCAACTAAAATGTAACTTAGAACAAACAATGTATCTTATTTAACACATTTATTCTAGTATCAAGGTACAAGATTTCCCATTTACAGCAAGCGCTAGCGATGCTCAGGCAATAGAGTGATAAACAAGTCCAGATGTTTTAATTAATACTTTATTTTTTACTAGACTTTATCCTATGGTTTCCTGTACAGCATGACATTGTACGGAGAACAGGGGTTTCTGGAATTTGTAGTCCAGCAGTCTGCATTTTACTCTTGCAAGCTCGTAACTAGACTACAACTCCCACAAACACCTCTGCTTGCTTTCTGATAAAATAAACAACTAGCTTACTGGAGAAACACTGCAGGTTAGGAAGGACTAAAAAGGAGCTGTGACGTCACATGCACAGCTACAGTAACAACAATGGGATACATGTTTTAGAATAGAAGAAGTGGGGTAGATAAGTCAGGGATAAGTTACAAAACACCTTATTTTATTTATTTATTTATTTTCCAACAATGGAGCGTGTGATAAAAGGAATGATTAAATATTTAGACCAAAGATTATAAAATGCATAACAGTGTCCTGGAGTGTCTCTTTATCTTCAATGAGTCTATATACACCTGTCTCTGTGTCATTAATCATTTATCTGCTAATATATTAATTTCCGTTACACTCACAACTCACAGGTGTGCTACTGGTTTTATGGGTGATCGATGCCAGCTCACAGACCCCTGTGCTAATGTTAACTGCTCACATAAAGGCACATGTCAGCGTCACTCAGCCACTGAATATCGATGTAACTGTGGGCCGGGATGGACAGGTGAGCCATTCAATAAGAGACTGAAATGCATTGAAGTTGAACCTGTACATTGTGTATTTTCCCAAGGGAATTCAGTGAGGAACAAGAATTAAAAAGAAAATCATACTTAATTTTATTGACTTATGGTCAGGTCAGAAATGCAAGGAAATATATTAGCAATTGGTTGAAACAAACAGAAACCTGTTTATTGGTGTAAGAAAACGTGTTATAAAACAGGAGGTGTTTGCAAAGTCATATTACAGAAAGATTTAAAATCTGTATAAAAAATGTTGCTGTGCTAATTTGGATATGTTTAATAGCATTGTGGGAAAGTGGTGTGGAAACACAATGTTTCAGAACTTGTTAAGGGTGAAATAACATAGACCATCAACCATCTTTGATATAAGACTCCATATTGTTTGCATCTAATTTTAGAATGTTTAAAAAAAAAAAAAAAAAATCCTAGTTCGGCTCCACCTGGCTACTTTAAGTTTACCTTGCCCTGCTAGTTTGCCTCGAATACATCCAAGATAAGGATGAGTTTGTCCAGTAAACATTCAATACTGAACCATGTGTTTAGTTATGTAAACGTATATTAGAGTAGATGTTTAAAACAAATGATCTTCGTATAAGACAGTGTACCAAGTGTTACACAACAAGTCCAACAACACCCTTCTCTACGTCCTGGAGCTGGAAAAGACAAATAATATCGTTGCCAATGAAATGGTTTAGTGTTGTGCCACTCATTGCAATATATTGAATGATATGTTTCTAAGATCCCTGATGTTTTACTTAGTAAATGAGAACGCTTTGATTGCAGACAACCCTGCCTCCTTGTGCTATTAATTCTCCCGCAAGCTGTCTAAAGAGATTGCTACAAATTATTTCACTGTCCAGAGAAAGGAGGTCGCAGACCGAGGTATTAGGTGTAAGCCCCCAGTAATTGTCAGAACCCGAATAGAACTTCTGGTGAATTTCGGTGAATTATTTACTAATTATTCACATAGAGTAAAAAAAAATAAATCTTAATTTAGTTTTGAGTTGTTCTTCAATTTTTTAATCTCAGAACATTTGTAATATTTGTATATGGTCAAAAGTCTGAGAACGCCTGACCATCTCACCTAAATTCCATTCCAAAATAAAAAAATAAAAAAATGGGCATTAATATGGAGTTGACATCTGTTTAAGCTATAACAGTTACCACTTTTTTAAAAAGGCTTTCCACAAGATAATATAGGACTAGGTGACTGCAGTTCCTAAAAGATTAGAAAAAAATAAACCCATTGCTGCCACGCTGGACCTTGCTTGTACCCTGGGGCACAGTTTTCAAGGAATAGGAACATTCCTTTCCCAAATTGTTGCCACAAAGTTGGAAAACACCTAGCTCCCTAAAATGTATCTTGTAGCATTAAGATGACTGTTCACTGTAACTAAGGGGCCCAGCCGTGACAGTAGATATTCTTTATTACAATAGGTAATGTATTGAGCTGATATTGCTTTCAGAGGCAGTTTGGAACTCTGTCGTTAGTGTTACATCAGGTGATAAGTGATGTATATGTGCTTCTTGCTCCAGGACTTGTCACTCCAGGTATGTGATGTCATGTGGTCTACCACTTCGTGGCTGGGCTGCAGTAGCTCCAAGACGCTTCCACTTCACCTGAACTCAATAAATAGAATGGGTGTCCACAAACATCTGACCCTATAATGCAGGGCTTAACATTTAATGCACTACACTTCCTTTATGCAGTCTGTTTAATTTAGAATTTCTTATCTCCTGCTCTGATAATAGCCTTCTAGACCATGAAGGAGCCTCCTGTGTGTAAATAACATTCAATTTACAGAGCAGGAGATTAAAACTTCTAAAGTCAGTGAACATCTGAGTGTATGAGTCACAGCCAGGAAAGGTGTGGCTAGAGCTGCATAAAGAGAAACAGAAAGTGATTTAACTCCTAAATGGCAGAAAATTCAGCAGTGAGAGTGAAGGGGTATGAAAAGGGGTATGAAAAAATAGTTTTAGTGCCTTTAGTATCCCCGTAATAATGAAATGTCGTCCTCCTGCTATTATAATAACACTCACACTGCTCGTATCCCTTTAACTGCATTAGCAGACTGATTTTGTCGTTCACATTTTATAAATGTTAAATGTTTTCTGTCTATGCATTCCTAAACATCACCCATTTCCCTGAATGAATGCTTAGATCTCTTCAGAGCTCATCACGTCCATTTCCCTTAGAGACATGACAAAGGAGACATGACATTTTATACAGAAAAGGGGGAGGAAGTGATGGAAAAATACTGGAAACGACTGTGTGTCACGAGAGTTCCTGCAATTTAGGTGCAGAATGATTCTTATAGTAAATGAATGGACGGTATAGGGAGGAACTATCGGGCAGACCGTCGGTGCGAGGCCTCCACCCTTCGCGGTTAATAGGTCTTTCATTTTGCTACTATCTAAAGGTAACCTGGCAATGTTTCAACCATTTTGGGTCTTGGCCAAAGCTTGACAAAGCTCTAATAAAGGTCTATTAATCACATTTTGGGTGGAGGATATCCTTATTCGTCTGTGTTTCTTTGATTGGGTTAAAATATGTTTAGTAATCTACATCAATGGCATTCATATTAAGTAAGTACCTGCTATTGAAGAAATATAAACTACAACAATGTACACAGAATTAGTTGCTGAATGCCAGTATTGTTAAATTGTCTCTGTGTAAAGATGGCAGACTTGCTATATTGTTTATTCATTTATAACACATAATTCTCAGAGATTTGTTTAGTTCCAAACTGCAATTCATCCGATTAAAGCTTGATCGGTGATCGTCTGAATCCCCGAGTTCTAAACTGCAAAGAACACTTAATCATGGAACAAACGACTCGTACAGTAGACGAGCATGTTCCTTTAATTCGTGATTCAGAGTTTCAGCCAAGGCACTAAAATAATAAATGGCATGTGGACAGCCGCTAATTGGTGATTTTATTTACAGATCAAGTGAGAAGTGACCGATAAAGAGAAAAAAAGTAGGAGCAATGAACAAAATAAATCTAGATTTATATATTATATATTTAATAAGTGTATATAAATGTACATGTATGTATATATATATATATATATATATATTTCTACTGCTCCTCCACTTTTTTCCTATATTGGTTACTCTTTCTCATTGTACTGCAAAATATATACATAATATACATAATATTTTTGTTATGTGTATGTATTGTACATTATATTGCAGTATGCTTATTGGCACATTCTCGTGACCTTTTGGTTTATCTGATTCTTTTTCCTGAATCTTTTTTAGTGGAGGAAAATGTGTTTTTTGGGCCAAATATTGTTTTAAAGTTACTCGATCTTTGAGTTTGGATGGTCCATGTTACATACAACAGGGGTGAAATTCTACTCACCTAGGCTGAATATTTCACTCGCCACTAGTGAGTGGCGAGTGGAAAGTTTCAGCTCTGCACAATAAAGAATCGGGAGAAACATCTTACCCTATGGGGTGCAGTCACATGGCGCAATTCTGTAACACTATGAGCATTACAGCGCTTCCTCGATAAGAAAATAGGAGGTTTGCTAAAAGCATATAGGATCTTAAAGGTAGCACTCATAGTCCTGAACCTGCACTCCTAGGGGGCATTCTAACTGAATCCTGCACATATCTACAATGACTCACTAAACTCTTTACTCACCTGGGAGTTTAACGTCCTCTAATCACAGGTGGCCATGTTTGTACTTGTGATATCCTGAGATTTAAGGAACCCTAAAACCTGGATTAGCAACAATCACACTAACACACGCTCTCTGAATAAATGTAATGAAAGGAAATAAAGAAAGGTTAGTTAGTTAGGAAATACCGTCAGACCAGGTTCTACTCTTTTATCATCAAGTGTGGGGGAATAAATGATTCCGTTTCCATTTCCGATGTTTGTTAATATATATGTTTATGAGTGTTAATTTTTTGTGGGATATTTGAAACATAGAAAGAGTTGTGTTGGCAAGGAGAGGCAGTTGCTATTTTCTGAAAGTTTTTAATTATCAGCTAAAATAAAATATATAGACTACAAAAACCAAAGTCAGTAATGTAGGACAGATTTCAACTAATATTTTGAAATGTAATCAAAGTGGTGTAATACATATATACATATTAAAATATATACAGTGCCATCTCTAGAAACCTCCAGCAGAACATTTTATATGAGGAAGAGGTTAATGTTCGATGTTCTGACTTGGAATCAGTTATCCGATCTAGTGTTGGTCTAATCCCAATAGGATTGTTGGAGACTGTCAATGGTCTGTCATTTTCACATGTATTCAGGTCAGGACATTGCCCGGAACACACATACATGAATGATTTTATTGTCCAGCTACTTCAATATGGTTTTTGCTTTGTGCTTTGACTTATTGTCCTCCTAAAATATGAATTTCCTCCTCAGTTTTGGCTGACAAACACATACTTTCCTGTTGGATTTTCCTGTATTTTGGGAAGTTGGTCCTTGCAGAATATGGAGTATGGAAAAATCTACCATGCCACACACAAAAAATTAACAGTAACTAATATTTCTTTGTTCCACTGTAATGCTTGGGAACTCATAGGTCTGATCAGTCCATTAGTAGGTGCAGCATTTATTGATTACAAATAGAGATTCATGTTATAAATTAAGATGTTTTCCAACACTTTTATTCACATTGCAATAATGTAAATGTTGTGCAGGAAAGAACTGTGAATCAGTGGACTTCTGTGCCTCGATACGCTGTATGAACAATGGAAAATGTGTCAACACCGCCCCTAACTTTATATGCCAGTGTCCCCGTGGCTTTGAGGGCGACGCTTGTGAGAAGGACGTGGATGAATGTCAAGCAGTGGGAACCTGTAAAAATGGTGGCACCTGCAAGAACTTGGTGGGGTCCTTTAATTGTCTGTGTCTCCCTATGTACCAAGGGGAACGCTGTGAGATGAGGAGAGGGGTCTGTGCATCAAACAGCTGCTCCAATGATGGAACGTGCTTCCAGAGAGATTCACAATACTATGAATGTCTGTGTCCATCAGGTGAGTAGCTATTATTTATCTCCCATGGGAGCACAGGAAAGATTGACAAAGAGCACACGAGACATATATACAATGATGACATGTTCATTGGTGACAAGTCTTTGCCTTATTACAGGATACACAGGGTCACAGTGCGAAGAAAATATTGATGATTGTATCAACCACAAATGCCAAAATGGAGGTTCCTGTAAAGATGGCCTGAATGACTATTCTTGTCAGTGTACACCTGGATGGGATGGTAAGTAGACATCTATCCCAGAACTAAAACTGTTCTTCTCAACAATTGTCATAATTACTCTATCCTACAGGTTCCATTACTCTCCAGGTCATACACTCTTCACAATTTCTTTCTTTCGCTAACATTCCTTGTTTCCAGTTTCTGTCCCACTGAGTGTCAGAGTTGTGTGTAACACTTCCACCACAATGTATTGTATACTTGTCCTGGCACCAATTATTTCATTTGGTCTTGTGTTGTTTTGTACGTTGTACACCAAGACTGCTATAAATCTGTAGACAAGATCCCCTATCAGTCATTTCAAACCTCCTTCTGCTATCCTATCCTTTCTGATATTTGCAGGCTGGCGTTGCACCCAGGATGTTGATGAATGCCAAACTCCTGGCATATGTAAGAATGGTGGTACTTGTCAGAACACACCAGGAAGTTATAAATGTGTGTGCGTCAATGGCTGGATTGGCGAAAACTGTGAGACCAACTATGATGACTGTGCTGAAGCCACGTGTGCAGAAGGTTCCACTTGTGTAGATCTGGTGGGGACATTCAATTGTGTGTGTCCCCCTGGCAGAATTGGTAAGTATTGACCTAGAGTGACAGTGATATTTACTAAAGTTAGAATTGGCGGAAATTCAAAGTGAGTTTAAAGTGAATTTAAAAATGTAGGACAAAATAACAAAATGAGAAACATTCTCAAAGTCAATTCTGTTTTCACTTTAACTATTCTGGCTTTAAATTTGAATTTTGTTTTTATTTTTTTTTAAATGTACTTTAAATTCTCAACAATTCTCACTTTAGTTAATAATCCGGTATCAGTCTTTACTGCACCATTGGAGTAAGAAGGTTAGGTAATGGAAAACATTTCATATTAATCAACAGAGTAAACAAAAAAACTTGTGTGATCTAAAAGTAATGTAGGTACAAATAAAGAAATGTCAGATGTGTGTATATGGAAGAAAAGAATTGCATGGTAGCAGCATGACCAGGCCGCCGATATTTGGGGATATTTGGGGATATTTCAATAACAGTCTGTTTGATATTGGAATATATTTGACTAAACCCAAGAGTTTCTAGAATAACTAAATGATGCCATACTCTATGTATCCACTCCCTCTGTACAGGCTTGTTATGCCAAGCACAAGATGGCTGTCTGAATAACCCATGCCACCCAGCAGCCACTTGTGACTCTCAACCTTCGTCTCAGACGGTCCAATGTCGCTGCCAGCCTGGGTACACTGGGGCTACTTGTCATCAGGATCTAGACGAATGCCAGCTAGGTAAGAGCTGCTGTAAAATAAAATAATTTCCTAGTTTTACAAACTACTTTCACTATACCTGATCTGACAAACTTTGAAGAATTCATGTTTCCCTTTCTTCATCTATGTTTGTGTTTTTTGGATAATTATCTTTGACCCCTCCATTTCTAACTTTGTCATATTCTTCTTTCATTTCTATCTGTGACCTAATATTACCATCGGCCTATTTTGTTTGCTTTCTACGTCATTCTTTTGAAATGTCAAATTCATATTCTATTCCTGCATTCCCGCTTTGATGCACATTTTCTTTCTTTGATGCGTAATCAGTCTTTGTCTTCCTTCCTGTTTCTGTTTTTCTCTGTTGTGACCTTTCTATCATCCACCTGCAGGTCCGTCTCCTTGTGAGCATGGTGGGGAATGCGTAAATACTGAAGGCTCGTTCCTGTGTCGCTGCCCTCGAGGGTACATTGGCACTCGCTGTGAAACGGATAAGAACGAGTGCCAACCTAATCCCTGCCACAACAATGCTACCTGTCTAGATTTGTTAGCACATTTCAAGTGTTTGTGTTTACCTGGTAAGGAGAGAGAATTTCAAGAACATTAGAATCGGGGGGAAAAGGAGCATGATTTCTAAGCTCAGGAGGATTGGTTACTTAATATATGGTCCCTAAGTCTAAAAAGGTAGTGACAAAAAGGGAAATAAAATACACAAGACAAAAATGAACCTGTCCCTTGCAGGTGCTGCCATCTTGTATGGCGAGTTCTCTTTGGAGTTGATGCCAGTGCTGTACTCTTGCACTTGCGTAAGAGGACAGCATTAAGGACGATGAGGTCTATGGAGGATCCATCCATGGACACATCCAATTCCCTGGAGCCATCATTGGTGATGGCTGTCAGGATTGACACCTAAACTACTTGAAACCAGTCTATAAATCAAGTCAGCAACTCACATGATGGAGAAGGAGCCAGGTAAATTTATTTGCAGCCAAATCTATGATTCTAGTCCCTCAAGTTATCACACTCTGTTCTGCGTGAGTTGACAAATAGTAGTTTACTACTAGAGAAATAGAGAGACAAAGTAGTCCCAATTTTATCTCTGTTTATCTTTTGAATGGGTTGGAATTTCACTGAAATCTTTATAAAATACTAATTGTTCAGGGGTGGTCGGTGACAGTGTCACTTTAAGGTGGTGAGCTATCATGTCAGATAGACATGTTGGATACAGTGGTTATGAAGTGCTTGCCCAGTCTCTCACCTTGTACTTCTCATGACCTTTCCTTTTTAGGATATGAAGGAGAGCTTTGTGAGCAGGAGATAGATGAATGTAGAAACTCCCCCTGCCAAAATGGAGGACACTGCTCCAATATTCCAGGCGGCGTTCACTGCACATGCCCTGCAGGTCTGTAAACACATTTAAATGACTAAAATAATAGAAGATAAATATTAATTCGCCTCAAAAGTAAGCTTTGACTTAAATAATATCTAGATTAAAGCCAATGCCTGTTGTTTTTTTTTGTCCACAAACCAAAAGACATTTGAAATCTTTTTCTCTGTTTGTCCGATTAATTCCGTTTGTTAGCCATGTATCGACTAGACTTTAAATTTAGGAAATTTCTTTATTTCATTAGAATACAGTAAGTATCTACCACCACATGCATACTTAAAGGGACACTGTAGGTATTATAACCATTTAATCTGATTGTATTGGTAATGGTGATTGGAGTACCCTAGCACTGTCCCTCTGTTCCTTGTTAAACCATTTTAAACCAGTTTAACCCTGAATGTTCCTGGCAGAGATTGTACACTCCATTGTAGCCATACCAATTTATACCTGCATTAGGGACTGTGATAGACTGAATGCAGCCAGCTGATATTCTCAGCCAATCATAGTTGCTCATTGCTGCTCGGGCCAATGCTTCCTCATTAACCCAAGATGCAAAGAGTGGATGGGCTATTGGGGACTCTTGATTAGCATTATATGAAAAACTGTTTATTGCTCAATGGAAGGGCATCACCAGGACACTCCAGACACTATAACCACTTCAATTACAGTGCCTACATTATCCCTTTATAAATAGCAATTTATAAATCCAGTCAGCAATTCATATGATAGAGAAGGGGCCAAATACATTTCTTTGAAGTCAATTCCACAATTACAGTCCCTCAAGTAATTACACTCTCTTCTGCTTACGTTGACAAATCAGCTCATAGTAGATTTCATACATATCAGTTAAAAATACGTCTTTCTCAGCCTGACTGCTACTGTCACAGTAATTGTCAATCCTGTAAACTGCATCAGTTATGTATTGGAATTTCTCTGAAAACTTTATCGCAATCAGTGATAACTCCATGTGAGTTAACTGGTATCCTCAAGGGCTCAAGGCCAGGTGTAACCCAGTCTTAACATCATGAGTGGTGGGAACAGGATGACACTACCCTCATTCCTTGCAGGATTTTTAGGGTCCCACTGTGAGGTCGATGTAGATGAGTGTGCCAGCTTCCCGTGTCAAAATGGAGGACTATGCCAGGATGGTACAGGGAGGTACAACTGTAGCTGTCCCATGGGTAAGAGACGGATCTTCTCTATTGTCTTTAACTTATCAATGTATTATATTTTCCACTTACTCTCCTGCCTTTCATTACTCTCCATCATCTTTCACGTTTAATTCTGTAAAAGGTTTCCAAGGCGCTCAATGTGAGGTTGATATCGATGAGTGCTCCAGCTCTCCCTGCTACTTTGGCCAGTGTGTGGACCATCTAGGAGCCTTTACATGTTCATGTCCCGAGGGGTACACTGGTTACATGTGTGAGCATGACATTGATGAATGCCAGAGTCAGCCATGTCAAAATGAGGCTATCTGCAAAGACCTACCTAATGGCTTCCAGTGTCTATGTCAGCCAGGTACCACAGGTAATCCATCAATCATTTCTCCCTTCTTCTACAAGCCTCGTCTTCCTCAATCGTATGATTGCGCTGTTTCCTTTTTGTGCCTTGAATACTGTTTCACTTGCCTCTCTATTGTCCTTTATGTTGTTTGTCTATTGCTCTTCCTTTCTTTCGTATTTTCTTTCTATAATTGTTATCTTTTGAGTCTATATTGTTTCCTTATATCAGTAATCCAGGCTAATTTAGAGTGGTCTAACCTTTGAACTGCAGGGATTCTTGACTAAACAATAGCCAGCTTAACAACATGAGAAATCTAGATGGTGTCAGTTATTTGACCAACAGTTAACATTTTTGGAGCTCTTCGTGTGTGATACCCTACACATTTTGTGTGTTTTGCATAAAATCGTTAGGTAGTGTGATCTTTGTTTGCAGGTAGCACGGTCCTCTAGGGTAAACAACAGGCACAGTCCTTGTAATTGCATATACTCCAGGCACTTTATTTGTAAATCCACACAGGATACAGCAGTAAATGAAAACATAAATGTAACACAAAACCCTATAAAAAAAAACCTAGCTCGTCTGAGCACTAACTGACATTAGGTTCCCTATCTCTCAGGGTTAAACTAAACAAAACAATATTGGTTTCACCAACCTAGAGTCTTTGTCCACTCTCAGAACTCCAGTATTTAGCCAGCCTGCTGCTTCCAACCTTTCAGAGAGAAACAAAACATTCTCTCCCTACCTGCCTAGCAGGGAGGGATTTATTCCCACTGCTGCAGCCGATTACCTGCAGCTGAGCAGTAGGTTGGAGACAGTCAAAAACCCTGGGCTGGATCTATGTCTTCCAAGAAAACTGCAGAGTGGAGCACTGGCCCACCCTGCTCTCCAAATGCTCCACCCCAGGGGCCCATAACTAAATATTCATTCTGGTTACATACACAGAAACATACACTCCCCCTGGGGTTAAAAATCATATGCCTCTCTAAACAATTCTGTCGAGATATAGACTCCCTCACAGACCACCCCATTCACCTTATCACAGTAGGCATTCCCAAAAATGTAATTAGCTATTCTTTCTCTCCCAATTTCTGTACCTTTCACTCTTTTGAACAGGTCCCACTTGTGACACCAATGTGGATGAATGCGCCAGTAGCCCATGTTTGCAGGGACACTGTATCGACACATTCAATTCTTTCCAGTGTTCTTGTGAACCAGGATACACAGGTAATACAATTTATTATCTTAATCCATAAACTATACAACTATTAAATGTGCAATACATTATTTTATACTTCAATAATAAAACCTAGTAGGTGTAAAATTGATAAAGTTACTTAAATACAATTACATCCCAATTTAAGACTGCAACTGTTAAACCCAAATTTCTTCCAGAAATTGTCACAAAGTAAAAATGTGAGAATGACAATGTTTAACGACTGACGTGTATTCTATGGCATAATGTGTCTGACTAGGTTGCACAGAACAGTGCAAGGTGTGGTTTCTTCGTCACTGGATTATTTTTCCTGTTTAAGAAAGAAAGCCTATAGCAGTTTGTCTTTAATTTTGCAATCCTTGCCTTCAGTGCATTCAATGTCTTCTTTCGCAGCACGTTATCAAAATAATATCATAATGCACAGATTTTAATGAATTAAAAAACTGTTAATTAGACAGATCCCAAATCACTGGATGCCTGGTCACATAGCATAGCTTCCCGCTCCCTTTTTAGCAGTATGCCTAATTATATATCACTGTCTACAATTCTACCTGTGGTAATAGTAATATTAATTATAATAATACTAATATTCCAGTTGATAAATGAGTCATCATACTGATACCGTAAATATATTTTGAGTTTCTGACAAAAAAAAAAGCTAAGTACCACTTGGTTATACAACGCCATGGCGAATGGATATTGTCCTTTAGGTCCGAATATGGCAGCTGTGTATAATATTGATACTTTCAGTGTGATATTGGGAATTGTTGGCCCACCGATAACCATAAACACATACTGTGTGAAAAATCCAAAAGTGTGAGAAGGAATGGACTATAAAACATTTCTCCCACAACTACAGTAATTCTTGCTAAATTGTAACATTTTCTTTCTCACCTGGCATTCTTAATAAATTCAAATATCCTTGTAATGATACAGTATCGTATTATAATTAATCTCTCTTGACATGCTCTAACTTCAATTTATATCTCTTGAATTCTCACTTTAACAGTCCTGTGACATATGTATTATCTCTGTCCGTATGATCTACCTTTGTCTTAGATATTCATGCTACATGGTAAATAAGGCTGACTCTACCCTCATTTTATGTTCTTCATTCACAGGCACTCTGTGTGATACTGACGTTGATGAGTGTCTCTCCAATCCTTGTCATAATGGAGGAATATGCAATAACACAGAGGGTGGTTTCTTGTGTCATTGTCCATTGGGCAGCCTTCCACCCCTTTGTACCTTAACAGACATCGAATGCAACCAAACAAACTGCATCCATGGCAGCTGTGAAACACAGGGCAACAGGTCAGAATGTTAATGTTATTCCAAAACATAATCTAATAACAGATTATGTTAAACATATACAATAAACCTACAGAACCATACCTCAAGCCAAAAATCCAGAGGAGATTGGGACAAGTGAGACAAGGTGCAAATAATGGTGCAGAAAACTGATACACCATACAGAATATATGGTGTTAGTTAGGTCTTAGATATCATGGATTATCATGGGATTATTTGTGTTGTGTTAATTGGATGAGCTATTACCATTTTTAAAGAGGGAGCTTTGAGATTTGCCAAAAGTGAAAGAGATAGTGACGGTGCATAAATTCACTTTCTGTTGAATTGGAAGACAAATAAGACAGTGGTGATTTGTAAAATGAATGCTGTTATTGTGCAATATTAATTGCTCCGAAGAATGTGAGTTGGAAATAGCTGGGAACTGTTTGAGAGGTTGTCAAGTGAGGTTATATTGGCACCATACAATAAATCCATAAGTATTGATTGGTTTTAGATATGAGCCCTGTACAGGGCAAAAATAATTGGTTCGTCCAAAATGATTCATTCAAAAAATACTTTAGTTCCGTCGGATCGGATTTCAATGATATGGCATTTTAGTTTGAACAAAGTTTGCTTACGGATATGTTTAAAGAAAACTGATTTAAACAAACCAAAATGGAGCAAAAATGGATGGATAATATGTATATATTTTACAAAGCATGAAGAGGTGCAGTTTCACACAATTTGGTTCACAGATAAAATGGGAAGAGGTATCCAACAGAGGGAGAAAATAATGAGCAGTAAAACATCTATAATTATACATTTATTGTCTGTTCCTTAACCATCAGTCATGTGTTTTCCATCAATCATTTGATGCTATAGAACTTTAAATCATGAAATAAACAAATCAGCTAGTTCATTTTCTGTTTCAGTTGTTTTGTGATTCGTACATATGGCAATTTAGAAATCAGACAATTTACCCATGGGCGAACGCCCAAGTCTACCAGATTGTATTTACACAAAGAAATATTTTTTGAGCAGAAACTTTCTTTTTTGAATTCCAAAGACACGGAACAGCTCAGAAAAAGTATTTTAAATTAAAAGATTACTCCAGCCCTTTTTAAAACAATTTATTTTTTAATTTAAAATGCCATATAGGGCAGCCAGCACATCACGCGTCCAACCACAGGGCGCCCGACAAGTCACCCCCCCAACCCCGCAGCCCCCTTGGTTAGGGGTAACCAACCCAAACAAGCCACCTACGACAAACAGCTCACCTCCACTAATGCATGCAGACACCTATACTCAGCACAGCACAGGGAGTCTGACCATGACACATGGAACTGACACAACCCTCACATAGAGTACCATCACCACCAGACCCACACTTGACGGGAGCTGCTGCAATACACCAGAGTCCCATCCCAAACACAAGGATGCACAAAACATCACAACACCTATGTACTGATCAATATGTTTTGTTTAACATGTTACTGTTGTTCAAGAAATTGTTATGGCTCGACCCAAAATGGTGCAAACCACGAACGACACAGAACCTCGACTTTTTAACTGTCGGTAAAAATCAAAATGTTGCACCAAAACTGAAAAATAAAGAATTTAAAAAAAACAAATGCCATATAGGGCATTACTTATAGGTCCCTAGCCACCCCCAAACCCTGTTAAAAAACTTAAAACGTACCTGTAATCCAGCGTCTGGCAAAGCTCCTAGTGCTGATCTCCACTCCACATACAATGTCAGCTCTGCTCTCTCATGCTCCAATCACAGTCTTCTCATAGATCATTTTACTAGCTCAGATCACATGTACACACAGATGTAAAATATGTGAGAATTAACATTAGGTAGCCCGGAACAGAGTTCTTGGCTGCCTAAGTGACGAATGCGAGGGTTGCAGCTAGCAATGGTATAACAAGGGTGTAGGGTGTAACAGGTGCAAATTACTCTGGATGTGCAATGTTTCAAGCAGATACACTGCAAATTAAGACTCCTACAAACATGACCACTTCATATCACTAAAGTAGTCATGGTGATTGGAGTAGCCATTTAACCCCATAAGGACCTCGGACGTATCAGGTATGTCCGACAAAAACAGTCCTTAAAGAACTAATTAGAGCGTTGGAAGTGATCATGATCGCTTCCAGCCACTCTAACGGTATTGCAGCAATGCTGTGAGGCATTGTGCAATACCCCTCCCCTCACTGCCGGGCCGCCAGGTGATGACCAGCTGTGAAAATTCCAAGTTGAAAACTGGAATGCACACGCTCCAAATAAGGTCTTTTAGCCCCCAGAGAACCTGACACACCTATACATGGGTGGTATTACTGTACTCAGGAGATGTTGCTGAACACATATTGGGGTGTTCCTTGGCAGTAACCCTTGAAGTTCTCAGTACATGTATAATGGTATTTTTAGAAAGACCATTTAATGGCGAGAAAAATGGTATATAATATGTGTGGGTACAGTAAATGAGGAAGAGGAAAATTACAGCTAAACACAAACACTGCAGAAATGTAAAAAGAGCCCTGGGCATTAACGGTAAGAAAATTGAAAAACGGTCTGGTCACTAAGGGGTTAAAGAAGGAGACTCGCAAAAGAGGCGGAAAGCTTTAGGTTGTGTTAGATGACATACTTAATTGTAGAGTACCTAAAAAGAACATATATAATATATATATGTATATGTATGTATGTATGTCAGAGCAGAAGACTAATATAAAGACTGATTCTTGTAAGATGCCAGCAGAGGATGGGAATAGAGGAGACAAAGAACTTAAAAAGAACATAAGCACAATATTTATATTACCACCATGTCCCCCCAAATAATGCTGTTTATATTATCTGTCTAATTATCTATTTTTCTAATCATTCTCGCTTCTCCTTTTTATTCACACTTTTCACTCTCTCCTCTCTGTCTCACTTTTCTTGCAGATCTCAGTGTGTTTGTAACCCTGACTGGACAGGTTCAGCTTGTGATACTTACAGCCACGTGTGTGCCACCAAGCCGTGCAATAATGGAGGAATATGTCAGCCTCACCATGATGGGTTCAACTGCACATGTCCTGCTGGATACACTGGTAACATAAATATTGACTACCATAGCATAATCATTGTCAAATTGGGAAAGAACACAAACATTAATGCTTCGTAACCCTGTTTATCTGACCCATGTTTAAATTAAGGTGTATGCTTGGCCTTAGATTCTGGGTATATGTGTTCATGTGCTCCCCTAGTCACAGGTAGATCAGACATAGCTGCATTACAGAGGAGGATTAAGTATAACCGAATGTTTCCTATCATTACCAATAATTTCTATTCCTCTACATCAGCGGTTCCCAACCTGTGCTACGCATACCCCCAGAGGTATGAACCAGTTCCCCCCAAAATTTGGTAACGGTGGAATCAGGGGCAGACTGAGAGGTCGGGCATTTTAGACACCCACCTGAGGAAGGAGCCCACCGCCTTACCACCCTGCCACACTTACAAACAGTTTCGTCAGCCTGCCTGAGTCTGACGCAAATCACAATGACTGCATTTCTTGGGCCAGTCACTGCTCTTCCAGAGGAGGAGTGACCCAGGGAAGCAGAGGGACATGGAGCCTAGTGTGCATATGATTATATGAAAGCAACTATACTAATTACAAAACGTTTTTGAGGGGTACAATTTATGGCAATCAGCTGTCAAGGGTTATACAAATGAAAAAAGGTTGGGAACCACTGCTCTACATAATCTCTTCAGTACATATAACTTGTTCATACGTTATAACCCCCACCATACTTTGTATTTCTGTTTCTTCATTTTTATATTTAAGAGTCAGAGTTACAAGCATAATGTTGTTTTTTTTAAAAAAAAGAATATTATTCTTTATTCATTTTTTTTTACCATCTATTAATGCAGATCTGTGGGAATACCTTATTTTATTATCACCATTTATAGTAGCCTTTTATAGTATATTTTAGATTGCAGAACACCCAGAAATAGTTAAACTCTAACCTGAATCATAAAAAAACAACATTATTCCCATACAGCCATAGTGTAATACATGGTGATTTCATTTTATGAGACTACCATTCTATGGAGCTCAGTTATTGCCCTTAGATTTCACTTTTTTTCACCAGTCATTAAATTTCTCTGAAAATATTATATTCTAAATGGTTTATTTCTAATGTATTACACACCACAGTCTAACGGGTTAGTGTGACCATAATTATATTGGGTATAGAGGGTTATGTTCATTTTATTTATTTGTGCTATGTTTTACCTGTTACAGGTACTCACTGTGAAGTACTCCTTCCTTCTTGTTATTCGGACCCCTGTAAGAATGGAGGAAAATGTCATCAGCTTCCAAACCGTACTCTCTCCTTGTGTCAGTGCCCTGATGGATGGCAAGGTCAGACCTTGTTAAACAGTGACATTGTAAATGTAGTACAATAGAATAGTACACTAGTAACAATGTAACATAGTCATTAACATGTAATAATGTAACATAGTCATACATTAACATAGTAATATAGTAACCTTAAATTATAAGATTTATCATTTATAACAAATAAATAATAGCACAGTAACACAGATAATAGCATATTAATGTACTCACAATCAAGTGTTCACATAATAAAGTAAATAATAAGTGTCACACTAAGATAGGAACATAGAAACACAGTATGACATATATAGAAAGTACACAATTCTATGAACGGCAGTCAGTGATGGGAGATGCAGGAAGAAGTAAGGGGGGCCCTGGGCAAACATGGCAAATATTGTGGCATACTATTGTCGTTGTTGTTTTTTTTTTTTTGTCTGTCTCTGTATGTATAATTTTGTTTTACACTGTGTGTGTGTTTCTCTCTCCCTTACATTTACTCACTCTTTCACCTTTACAATAAGTCTGGTTATTTTTTCAGGTCCCTTCTGTGAAGAAGATGTGGATGAATGCGAAGGAAACCCTTGCATAAATGGAGGTAATTGTTTAAACAGCCCTGGGAAATACAGTTGCCTTTGCCCTGAGGGTTTCACCGGACAGCACTGTGACGCAAACCAAAACCACTGCCAACCAGGTGAGAGGGATTATTAATAGAGCGCGAGTGTGGGGTGCCGCTTTATATTTACTTATAATAAGAACTGATTCTTAGTTACATATTTTCCTGACTGCCATCATTAGCACTTTAAAAGTTTCATTCCATATGATGCTATTAAAAGTGCTTACCAACTGCTTCATTTCTGTAGGTAAGTGTCTTGCATTCCTCTTTGCCCAGCAAGTTTGGATTCAGTTCTTCATGTGATATCTGTAGTATTTCCAATCATTTATATTCATTAAGCTTTAATACAAAATAAATAAATCAAATCATTTCAGTATATTTTTATATTAAATATTCATAAATATTTTTTTAAATTGCTGTTCTACCATACTTTTATATTTTTCTGTATGTATTAGTAAAAATTTTACCTAACACAATAAATGAGATAAAATATATTTGCTATATAATTAATTAAAATGTTATAGTGTAACTATATTCCACAGCACTTTACATATTAATATATGCTGGGAGAAATATGGATATATTAGTATAAAGAAATATCGCTGTCTAATTAGTCTTCCTTCAATTACCTCAGTGCTTAATTTACCTTCTTCTCTTTATTCCAAATTCTCCTTAACTGGCTTTATTCCTGTACTCATTTCTTCAATGACTTATTCAACATTTTTCTATATGTCTCGCAGGCAAATGCCAGAATGGGGGTACGTGTCTCAATATTACCGATTCTTTCTTGTGCTTGTGTCCTCCGGGGTATGTTGGGGAGACATGTCAGGAGTACAGGGATGAATGTGAAAGTTCTCCATGCCGAAATGGTGGATTGTGCAGGAATCAGGTCAACTCATATTCCTGCGATTGTATGAAAGGCTTTGAGGGGGAGAATTGTGAACTGAATTCTCAGGACTGCACCAACAGGTAAAAGGGAGATCAGGGTCAAGAGATAAAACAGAGTATAAGGATACATGAGAGACGAATATGACCGAGATAAATGGTGGAATGAAATGTAACTGTAATAGAATACCTAAACGTTTACTGGAACTGGAAGGGTGGAATATATTGTTGCAGAGGTTCTAGGTAATTTCTTCTCAAACCAAGGCCACAATCTAATATTTCTAGATAAGCTTTTCAAATGATTTAATATATTTTTCAAATGTAAAATCTTTGGGAATTTTTGTATACAAACCTTTTGAAAAGTTTAGCCAAAAATATTAAATAATTTGAAACAATTATACAAAGAATATTAAATTAAGGCAAAAATCCTCCAGTACAGGAAGCACTCTTGCTTTTTTCATTACCTGCACTGGAACATAACATGATATTCTACAAAAGAAAGAAAAACCAAGAGAAAATGATCATATTTCGCTCTATTTATTAATAACATTGGGGAAATGGATTGTGCCATTTGGCAATTTCCAGCCAGTAACAAAAAAATAGGTGGAAGTCTTTCTTTGGAATTATAGACTTACCCTTTGGTTTGTATGCCCCTGTTGTGATCAGTTATGTATGAATTGCCTTGTAAAATTTGTCAAATTTAAAACTGTTTTTTATTTATTTATTTTTTGCGCTTATTTAAAAAATTGGGCAAACTAGATGGGCCAAATGGTTCTTATCTGCCGTCACATTCTGTGACGTTTCTATGTTTCTTGAATCTGTATTTTGTATTTATTTAGAAATACATGTTCTGGGTGCGCCCCAAATTCCCCTTTTTCCGTCATGTATGAATTTCATAAGCTGTAACAAAACAGCTAATAGTGATATGTGGAAAATATCAGACATATTTAAAGTGAGTAAAGTATTGTAGGATCTTAAAAGGATTTTTGGAGGAGCGTATCTTTAATGTGTCTCCATATCTCTCAAAATATACCTACAGCTCCTGCTTCAATGGCGGCACTTGTGTTGATGGCATCAACAGCTTCTCCTGCCTGTGTCCGGAAAGGTTCACAGGTGACCAGTGTCAACACAAGCTGAGTCACTGCAATCCACAGCCCTGCGCCAATGGTGGCACTTGCAACGACCTTCCAGACGGCTATCACTGCTCCTGCACCCACAGTTACACTGGGATCAACTGTGAGGTAAGGAAAATTCTGCTAAAATAATATCTGAAAGCATAGGGTGGACAAAACTCTCCCGTGGAGGTATGTCATGATATAGCCCTATGTGATTTACAGGAAAACCATTCTCCTGGGGTTTCAGGTACAGTCAGTATAGTGTGTCGGATATTACCATTATATAATTTACCAAGATGCACATAATTTACACACAGGTCCCCGTAGATTTGTGTATCTTTGCTCCTTGTCAAAATGGAGGAACCTGCTCTCAGACCAGAACAACGTACAGTTGCATCTGTGAATTGGGATGGATTGGACGTCACTGTGAGACACCCCTGATGACCTGCAAGGCGACAGCTGCCCGAGAAGGTATCTACAACAGTTTTATGTCACCACCAACCATTTTTTCTGGAATTCCTTTTACAGGATAGATGCTTCTTTCTTGCCTCAACTAAAACCTCATTCTGAAATTTTAATTTATCGATTAATTCCACTTCCATTTTCCTCTATTAGAAACCTGACATTTTAATTTTACCATCTCCCTTTCTCATCCAAACCAGGAATAGATCCAAACTCTCTCTGCGGTGGGCATGGCAATTGTGTGGATTCAGGGTTGTCTCATGTGTGCCGATGTTTCTTTGGATACTCTGGGCCAAAGTGCCAAGAGAAGATTGATCCATGCCAACCAAATCCATGCCACAATGGTGGTTACTGCAAGCAAGTCTCTGGTTCTTTCACCTGTCAGGTAAGATTAAAAGAAGTAAGAAGATCCTATGAGAAGTACAACAGAAGAGCCACAGGAAGTTAAAAGTTTACTCCAAACACCATGACAACTTCAGTGTTTTTAAAGTGGTGGTGGTGCTTGAAGCCTGTATGTAAAGCATTACAGTTTCAAATGCAGCACATACGGAGATGTTTTAGATGGCTGCCGGTGGTGTAATTTCCCCTCTGCAGCATCATCAGCCAACTCAGTACAAAAGTTCTGGTATGGCTAAGGACAATTCTGTGCATTTTCTTTCCACAGAGGGTCATTCATTAGCTGAGAGCATACTCGTAGCACCATAGGCACTACAGCAGTCTATCGTCATTACGATGCTTGGAGTAAACCTTTAAGAATTTCATAGTTAGAGAAGTAGGACGACAAGAACAGTAGTGACAGACATATCTATGGTAAAGCCACTGCAAAGTATAGGAGGATATTAAGCAAAATGAGGAAGTTTGTGAAAGAGGAATAGGAATCGTTCAATTAGTAAGTCTAGAGAAAATCTAGAGGAATTGGAAGCTAGGTAGAAACAGGAGAGAAGTGTAGTTGTATCTTTTGGTTGTTAAATGTATTAGTGGTGTAAATTATGTGAGAATAGTCCATATTTTATGTGTTCAGAATGCAGAATTATATATTTATAAAAATAATGTCAGTCTTTTCTGTCTCCTATCCTGTAGTGTGCCCCTGGATACCTTGGGGAGACCTGCACTGAGAGGGACCCTTGCCTGTCACAACCGTGCTTCCACAATGGGCAATGTGTAGCACAGGGGGGGAACTACCAATGTATATGTCCTTCTGGAACTCAAGGTGAGAGGATTGGTGATCACTGTAAAGGTACAGATAGAAAGATAAACACGGTATAGAGAGAGATGGAGTTAATGGGTAAACGATTCCGGTGATAACCAAAAGGCAGGCAACCTAGGGAATCTATAAAAACAAAGAGGTTGTACCACAAGAATACAATAAAATAATGTTGTCAGTGTGGCGGAACCAGCCTCGCCACTGGGCATTGGAGAAGACTGATTGCCAGCCTCCTGCCCTGTGACTATGGCCCCATGTTGAAAGGATGGATTTTCCCCTGCAAAGACCCAAAAGCTGGGTCATTCGGTACTTTCCCTACGTGAGCAGTGTTACCCAGATAGCTATGCCATGGAGCCCATTCGTATAATGAAAGACCATGGGAAAGACTTTGGCTCCATGGCAATTGAACTGTATGTGTGTGCTCTGAGCGCCATTCAGTAATAATGTGCGCTCAGATCTGAGCTATCTGGGGATATGTTGAATGTACCTGTTTTGTGCAATGGTTGCACAGTTATATGTTTTTATGTGTTTTATTGTCTTTTGCTGCCTTGTGTTCAATGGAGTTTTGCCTCTGTCCTTGGAGATAATTGGATTACTTTGCAATTATCTCCAGGATAGAAGACTCTGTGGAACTGGTTTTGGGCAGAGAAGCCATGCTTCCTTTGGTCACAAAGGACTACGATTTATCTTTTGAACCACTGGACCAATTTGTATGATTTTGACATATGTTTGTATTTGGAGTATGCTGATTCTGAAAATGTAAATTTTATGTGAATGTGATGCATACTTTTCAAGTTATGAATAATGTGGAAAACTGTATTTCTCTGGCTGTGATAATTAAATTACCCATTGTGTAAGGTAATTGTATCACAGGCAGAGGGGAGGATTTTGTGTGGGAGTGTCTGAGTGTATTGTACATGTTTATTGGTTGTTTTACAAAACCCTGTGGGTGGTACTAATGTGTAAGAATGTGTACATAAGAACAATAAACCCACAGCTCTGGAGTTCCTGCTTAACCCTCAAAGTGAAGTGTCGTCTCATTATTGGGGGAGGATTTATTGTATGCTGTTCCAGTTTGACTGCTAGGAGTGTAAACCTATTCGCATGGTTTTTCCTATTTGGCTGTATACAACATTCATATGCTCCTACGGTTCGGTGGTTATGGTGTCTGCTGCAGTACTTGAAGTCCACAGGAAGTGCTAGGAGCATCCTTCAACGGAGGTACCCAGGTGATCCGTTACAGTCAGTATTCAAATAAAATAGTCCAGAATAAAAAGGAATACCCCTTTAAATGCAATATAAGCTCTTGGGTAGATGGTAGATTCTTCTACTGGATAGTAGGTTCCTTGGTAAGATCCAAATGTAAAGAACAGGAAATCCAAAAGTGCTATAAATCAATATAAGCATGGTGTATATAGTAAAACAATGGTATCTTACTCACATTTAATGGAGCTATGACCAGCTCTAGTTGTAGTAGCGTACAGTGGTATAATCCCCACTTACGGGATATGTGGATAAGTGTTCGAAGGAGAGGTAGTTTTGTTGAACCCAAAATTACAAGAATATAAAAAGGCAGATAACAGTCCTCTCTGTTGCAATAAAAAAACGCTAAAATAATAATTGCAGTGAATACTCACAAATAAAGAGCAGGCATACTGCTCTATGGATAAGACGCCGGGGGTATAATCCCCACCTAGGATTTCTTTGGAGTAGTCAGGAAGCCAGAAAGTAAATAGGATAAAATAAATAAATCTAAAACAAAAAGGTAATTTGGCACAGTAAACAAATATTGAGACAAAAAAATACTTTATTAGAGAAAAAAAAAAGTATTATTTCCATAATGCGTTTCACCACATAGGACTTTAGCAAATGGAAGCAAGACCTAAGGAATGTGAATACAAAATGATGAGACAAACAGGGTGAAAACCTGAAAAAACTTCAAAAATAGTGATATTGACTAGGATATTTCTTACAGACAAGACAGTTATTATATGATTGACATGGGAATGAATTCCTATATATATAGGCCAGGAAAGCTCCTCTCTCGATATAGATTCAGCTTACCAATGACCTAAACCACCTTCACAGATTGAATTGGTGCCAGAGCCAATATCATATTCCATAGTCCAAAACCGTGTCTATAACCATGGCATCAATCTGAAGACCTGCTGGGATCACAAGCTATACAGGAACAGGAATTAATACAAGGCTAAGAAGCCTTCAGCATGGCACCCACAATGGGAAGGTCCTACAAGTCGCAGCCATAAAGGACCAGGATTCTCCTAACTGTCCTGGGTCTGCTGGATCAGTCACAGTAAGACACTCATCACCTGTCTATCTGCATTTTTACGAATGTTCAGCTTTTTGGGGGCACCACAGAAGTATCAACAAAGTGTAGCATGAATGCACCATTAAACAAAATGGCAGTGTATGGGATCCATCCAGGACATTAGCTCTGGATGGGTCTCCTGACATTACTACAACTTCACTTACTGACTCAATAACGGCTCTCTCAGACAGACTTCATTACTCATATGGTGGTAAAAGCTGGCTACTTCTTTAGGGAATCATTCCTTTATCGCCTGCCAGTAATATCTAATTTCAGTAGTCTACTTAAACATTTTTACAACATTGTTTGCCCTCCATGTTGGTTAACCGAGAAACACGAAGTTTCTGAGCTGCATTTCCCACAATGCTTTGCCAGCACAATTGGTGTGCCACGCTTAGCCCAATCTGCATTAGAGTGTGTATGCTAACTGAAAACATCCCGCATGCACCATTTTATTGATTGCTTTGACTAACTCAGTCTTACTCCATTTTCTCAGGTGACCACTGCCAAATTAACTTTGATGACTGCACCCCTCTAACATCTGAGCCACGCTGCTATAATGGGGGGACTTGCAAGGACGAGATTGGAAGCTACTCCTGTTTGTGTCCCCCGGGGTATGTCGGGCCCAGGTGTGAAGGGGATGTGAATGAATGTTTATCCAATCCCTGCCACCTACAGGGAACACAAACCTGTGTGCATCTTGAGAATTCCTACAAATGCCAATGCCATCCCCATTATACAGGTATGGTATGAATAATGCTTAAATACTCTGATGTGGGGCCGCCTCTGCCCTTCCTGTCTCTTTACTGCTCTATCACTTTTCATTTATTGCTTGTACTTTATGCAGATTATATTTTGTTTTCCTCTTCTGGTTTTCTTATATCATTCCCTCACAATCATTACAAACACAACTTATCCCAGTCTCCCTTTCTTCTTCATCTGCTCTTGTTTGCCAATCCTGCGGATCTTGCTCATTTTGCCTTCTGTCCCTTTGCTCCTAACCCTTTATTCTTCACACAATCTCACTTCTGTACCTCTGATGTATTTGTGTTCTTCTGTCCCGTACTCCCAATTCATGTTCCCTGCCATCTCTTCTTCCTCTAATATCAACGTTTTATTTTCCTTTTACCAAATACTTTCCTAATTTCCTGGGTAATTTGACCTGTCTTTTCTCCCTTATCTCACCCTGCTGTCCTCTTATGTCCATTTTCAACTTTCTCATGTTCTCCCTCTCCCACTTCTCGTTTCCTTTATCTTTCTCCCTCTGGTTAGTCCTGTCCTCTTTTGCTCTCTCTGGTCATTTCTCTTGATTTCTCATCTCTCTGTGTCACCTGTGTTGTAATCTCTTTCTCCATCATCTATTTTCTATTCCGTCCATTTCTCTCCATCCCTATCCTGTTTCATCTATTGATCTCACCTATATTCTACTCTGGCATCTCTCTCCATCCCTATCCTGCTCCGTCTATTGATCTCACCTATATTCTACTCCGGCATATCTCTCCATCTCGATCCTGCTCCATCTATTGAGCTCACCTATATTCTACGCCAACCATATATCTCCATCCCCATCCTGCTCCATCTATTGATCTGACCATCTCTCTCCATCCCTATCTTGCCCCATCTATTGATCTCACCTATATTCCACTTCAGCCATATCTCTCCATTCCTATCCTGCTCCATCTATTGATCTCACCTATATTCCACTTCAGCTATATCTCTCCATTCCTATCCTGCTCCATCTATTGATCTCACCTATATTCTACTCCATCCATCTCTCTCCATCTCTATCCTGTTCCATCGGTTGATCTCACCTATATTCTCTCCATCTCGTCTCAGGTCAAAAATGTGAGAAGATAATGAATTACTGTGAAAAGAATCCTTGTTATAATGGAGGATCCTGTGCAGTTGCCACCAATACTCCCCTTGGTTATACTTGTAGCTGCCCACTGGTAATTATCTCTAATTCATGCTAATTATCATGATTGGCATTTCATTCGAACTTTGTAACATATACCATGTGTCAGTGTCTGCAGATGACAAAAAGTAGGTAAGATACAGTGTGAGCAGCATATTACTGCTCTTCAGAGGGATTTGGATAAATTAGGCGACTGAGCAGGTAAGTATGATGTTATACTATAACATATATATGCAGAACTATGCATAAATGCAGATATATAAATGGGTATTTCTTGAAGTCCTGACAAACTACTCATACTAATCATACTAGTATAGTGACACCTTGTGGTCAATGTATGTATTACAGCTGGTATTGATACAATTACTGTTACCTTTTGAAGACAGAATAGTGGTAGCTAAGAATTTGGATGATGACGTTTGTACTGTCCCCCCATTTTGGTGAGATTCTGTAATCATTATATAAATTACAGACAGAATATCATACAGTTATCAAGTATAGTTCTAGTGATCATTATTCATGATGTCAGTATCCCATAGAATTAGATACTAGATAAAGTGACATCCAGTGGCCACTGTGTGTATTACAGAAAAAGTATTTATGTAAATTCCGTATTCCACTAATAGAGTGAAACTATGTGATTGATTTATTTCTCTCTTATTCTGTCTATCCCTCATTTTCTGGTTTTTAAACTATTGTATTACTTTTTTAATTCTCCCCAGGGATATTCGGGGGCCACCTGCAGTGACTCGATATCACCGTGTGGTCCCTATACTTGTTACAATGGAGGTGTATGTGAGCCTGGCACGGGGGTACTCCCTCGCTGCCGGTGCTCCAGAGGTTATTCTGGCCCACAATGCCTTGCACTCGTGGAACCCAGTGCTACAACTACAAGTACCTACCCTCCTGCCTTAGTGGGACCCTGGGAGCAGTGTACAGACCATGAGTGCAGGAAGAAGTTCAGAAACAGTGTCTGTGACAGCGAGTGCAACAACAAGCCATGTCTATATGATGGCTTCGATTGTAACATCACAAGATCCTGCAAGTAGGTCCATCGATGCAACTCTCTGTGTATGTGGGATTGGGCCTGTGTCCATGTGTACATACTGGAACTGTACAACATACTGTTAATGTATTGTAACTTTCATTTTTGAGTCTGGAATCTAATTAATAAAGATGACCCTGTCTGCCTAATAACTAGAATGCAAACCATACTTACGAGTAGAAGTAACAAGGAATCGAGTGAGCCTGTTGTCACCTTGTTTGGACAAAGGTGCTGTATAGAGTTAATTAACGTGTGAGCCGAGCAAGGGTCATAGAATAGTTTCCCCTCCTCATATTTATTGTAATACGAGTATTTATCACTAGTTTTTATTTACAGAACCATAATAAATACTCTATGGGTGGCTATAACATTGTGGATTTTGCAGGTTCTTGTAGCTTAAAAAGTCTTAAATAAATTAATTTTAGAAATCTCCATCACTGTATCTAGCTTTACTGGAACTGACACCTCTGTCTATGTTTTTCTGTTTTAAACACTAACGTGAGAATAGTTGGTCATTTAAAGTGAGTTTAAAATTTTGGGCCAAAGTTTAATCTTATAAAGTTTGTTATGCCATACCTCCCACATGTGGCCTCTTCAAATCGGGACAGTCCTGAAGGGGCATCGCCAGTGACGTGAATCAATCTTTTATTCAGTGGTGAGATTTTCAGAAAAGCAGGATATCTCAAAATGTTGTGACCTCTTCAATTAAACAGGATGTGCTAGATTAAAATCTCTTCCTTTGAACTTCAAGACTGTAAAAGGAAATTATTAACTTGTAGTGATGTCCCGAACGGTTCGCGAACAGTTCGCCACGAACAGTTCGCCACGAACAGTTCGCCGCGGACTCATCATTGAGTTAACTTTGACCCTGTACCTCACAGTCAGCAGACACATTCCAGCCAATCAGCAGCAGACCCTCCCTCCCAGACCCTCTCACCTCCTGGACAGCTCACTAAGAATGCAGCTTCACAATGAATGTAAAATGGATGCTGTCCAGGAGGTGGGAGGGTCTGGGAGGAAAGTTTACTCAATGATGAGTCCCTGGCGAACCATTCGCGAACCGTTCGGCGAACCGTTCGGGACATCACTATTAACTTGTTCCTGAAGAGAGTCTCCAATCCCATAAATATTTTACTATGTATTGACTTCCAAAAAGGCGAGCACATTTCCAGTTTTGGTTTCTAACACAGGATTTAAACATGTTCAGGTTGATTCACCATGTATATGTGCGGCCATATATTTATCTATATATATTTGTAAAGTCACAAAATGCACTTCCATTTGTCAGTAGTTTTTATTTTATAAGCCTATCCATAGATATGTATGTCGCATTCGTTATTGCTTCTGACTTGTGTCTTGACATCACTCTCTGTGTTTCTACTCCCAATTCTTCATCTTAGTCCTCTCTATGACAAATACTGCCTTGATCACTTTGCCAATGGTCACTGCGAGAAAGGATGTGACAAGGAAGAATGTGGCTGGGATGGAGGAGACTGCTTGAGAGAAGAAAGTGACTCCCTTGGTGGAACTCTGATCTTGGTGCTGAATTATGCTCCCCCTGTGCTACACCAGAGAGATATAAATAACCTCTTACGTTCTCTGTCCATCTCTCTCCGAACTGGCGTGAAATTACTAGCAGACGGCAAAGGTGACATGCTTTTTAGGTATCGGAAAGGAGACAATCTGAAAGAGTTGTCACCAGAAGTAATGCACAGGTGGGAGTATGGAACAATGAAGGCTGAAGGAGAAGAGAGTGAAAAGGAGAGCAGCACTATTGGGTAAGAGGGAAACAGAGGAAAGTGGTGTGAGTAGACTAAATCATCTTAAAGAGGATATGGGCAATAGCATTTTCTACTTTTTGAAGTTAAATGATAAAGTGTTGTGTTAGACCACAGATGGGGAAGTAAATATAAGTCTAGTTAATATAATTGGAATGCTGTGCTTGACTTAGAAAAGCTATGGACTATAACAAGTGCCTTTTTTGTTGAGTGGGCCAGTGAGAAGTCAGATTGCATAATGGGGAACGTAGAGAAGAAGGGGATTAAAATCACTGGCTGTGGACAAAACTCTCAAGGAGCTTATATCAGTAAAAAAAGAAGAGAGATGTGTCAGAGAAGGTCACAGCCAGACATTTTGAGAGGAGCAGTGATAGCAGTCCCTTTGATGGAGTTGAAGTAGAACCTAGATGAGAACGGTGGGCTATGTTAGGGAGGAGAGTGGTCAATGAGAGAAGGAAGGACAGATATGAATGCATGAGAGTGGGTTGGAAGAGCAGTGATGTTGTAGAGTTTCTGTAAAACAAGGAGATTATTATTATCCAGTTGCTGTATTTAGACTTTTCTAAGCTGTGCTGTGAATGCACTTTATCTCACTTCATTCATAAACAAAAAACACAGCTAGTGAAGATCAGCTCACACACTTGTCCCCATTCACCTCGGCACCACATGAAGCTAGTGCCTAACTGCACCGAAAAAAATGCCACGAAAAGTGCCCTAAAAAAAAATGCCACTCAAAAGTGCCTGGTGCTATCAACATGTGAAACAAGGGGGTTTATTCATTTTTTTTTTTTTTTTATCCCCCTTGTTTCACATGTAGAGAGCACTATGCACTTTTGAGTGGTATTTTTTGAGTAGTATTTTTTAGATAGAGCAGGTACTGTGGCTGTGGAAAGTCACTAAGATATGAAAATGTCATAGACCTGCACTCTGTTTCGCACACCGCCTCGATAAACCAGAATTCCCATTGACTGTACTACTATAGTGATGTCCTATTAGCGTCACTCCCTTTAGCCAGCAGTGGGGCCCCTACAGCTTTGGGCCCACTGTCCAAGACCAATTGGCCAAGTAGTCAGTCTACATCGTGTATAGTGCTAAATACTGTGGATTCTGAAATTACCACGTTAGCTGTGGAGGGACGGTCTTTGGGTGCTAAAGAAAGCCCATGTTTTGTTTTATCGTCAAAGCCCAGAGGTTCTCAACCTAGTCCTCAAGGACCCCCTAGCAGTCCGTGATTTAGGGATTACCTGGGTGTGTCTAAGGTGTTTAGAAAAAGAAAAAAAACACACCTTAGACGCTAAGGTATTTTTCTTTTTCTAAACACCTTAGACACACCCAGGTAATCCCTAAATCCTGGACTGGTAGGGGGTCCTGAGGACTGGGTTGAGAACCCCTGGTCAAGTCCCTTTCATGGTTTTTGTGGTGACAGCACCCATAGTCAATACACTGAACTGACGGACGTGGTACTTGAAATAATGAAAGTGGTTGTGAAAAGCATTGGTGACAAAGAGGGTACTAGAACTTTAATTGAATGAAGAGTGTTTTAGTTGTTGTTTTATCTAATAGCAATACAATTTTAGTTACCACAGCTCTACTACAAAACAGATGGTTTTATCTTCCCAAATGTTGATTTACAAGAATCTAAGATTAAATTAAAATCATCAGGCTAACAAGCCATGAAGAGTTAACTACATGTTTGTTCGTCCACCCATTGTAAAGCGCTGCGGAATTTGATGGCGCTATATAAATAACATAATAATAATAATAATATACAGAACTAGACTTTACCACATCACAAGTTACATGCTGATGGAGGAAGGAAGTGACATCATCCGAGTTTCACATAATATAAACGTCTGAGCAACGGAAAAAAAAACAACAACAATACACAGTAACACTTACAGTAAATGGTTTAAGTTTTAGAATGAGCCACCAGCTAAGGACAGATGGTGGCAGCTAAACCCATGTATATTCTTATTAGGAACACTGCACTGTATGCTAACTAAAACATGGCAGTTTGACGAGGACTATTGGGAGCTGTGTGTGGCTTTGTACCACATACCCCATGAGATATCTGTGGATAACATTGTTTGCACAGTTAGTTATACAGTGGAACTGCATGGCGATTACAAATAGCCAATGTTTGTGTTTTTTGCTGACCCTAAAGGAACAGTCGCTCTCTATTTCTTTCAGCAGAAATTCAGCCAGCTCCCTACTGATTCTACTGAATATTCTGATATTCAATACGAGGATTCCTTTTAGTTAAAATGTTGGTTTTTCTTCCGCCTGTTTAGTGTATATTGTTTTTTTTTTGCTTTGTTACATGTGACAAAGGTCAAATAAATGATATATAAATAGTCACATACAGTGGAGTTTAATATATAAACAATCTTATATTTATATTATTTATGAAGTTCATACTGTGAGTATATAAAAGTGCTGAATAAACAAGTACATCAGTATTCCAGCCCTGAAACTGTTAATGGGACATTCACAAACGGCTTGATTTCTTACAGTGGGAGAGGGGCCCTTCTTGCACCATAATCATTAGAGAGTTCTGCAGTTGTTATGGTGCTTGGATTGATCCTTTAAGAAAGGTATCTTTATAACAACCACATCCCACTGTCTGCATTGATTACGTGTTGCCCCTTTGCAAATTGTAGGATGTGGTCATTATAAAGAGTGTTTTTTTTTGTGCTGCTTATAAACATTATTTAGAGAATCATTGGCTCAGTCATTTACCATCTCCTATTACCTTCCTGTTAATCCATTCCAACTTCCAAAGCTTCTATCATGCCACTTGTTCACATATCTGTAAAACTCCCTCGTACTGTTACTGGTTTACTATATCTGACAGAGATACAATGTTTATTCCCATATTTTCCATAGCTGTGTCCTGTACCTGCATGTGTTTGGCACAAAGTATGACCAACCTCCCTGCTTTCATAGTGCCAAGGAAGCAGCAAGTTTCCTGGAAGCAATCCGTGAAAAAAATGAAAATATTCTTCCTTACTCTCTGCTCGAAGTCCAACACAACGAGGATGGTAAAAGTACATGTCAACTCCACCAACCAGCCATTTGCAAATTACACAGTATATCACTGTCAAGTATCAAAACTCCCCTCCTCAGCCAACACTCTTCATCTCTACCTGTGACGCACAACATGTTACTTAAAACTCCCCATCTCTTATGATTCCATCAATGTAGCTTTATATATCTTTTACTATCCTTACCTTTTGTGTCACTATACCCCACTCCCTCTAGCATGTAAGCTCATTGAGCCGGGCCCTCAATCCCTCTGTTACTGTGTCACTATACCCCACTCCCTCTCGCATGTAAGCTCATTGAGCCGGGCCCTCAATCCCTCTGTTACTGTCACTATACCCTACTCCCTCTAACATGTAAACTCACTGAGCAGGGCCCTCAATCCCTCTGTTACTGTGTCACTATACCCCACTCCCTCTAGCATGTAAGCTCATTGAGCAGGGCCCTCAACCCCTCTGTTCCTGTGTGTCCAACATGTCTGGTTACAACTACATGTCTGTTCGTCCACCCACTGTAAAGTGCTGTGGAATTTGTTGGCGCTATATAAATAATAATATAATAATATTTCCACCCCCGAAGCACCTACTTCATTGGCATTTCAAATCTTCAGCTATACAACACCTTCTTACCTTCCTAACGCGCAATATTTCCACCAACATCTGTTTCCCCTCGATTTCGTCTCTCCATTTCCACATCCCCTTTACCCCATCACTTTGTATTTCCAATAATTTTTGTTTCCTCTTCTCCCATTTGCTTCTCATTTTTCTCAGAATTTATATTTTCATTCACAAATTCCATTTTTATCCCCGATACAATTCTCTTTCTATCTACTCAATGGTTGCTATATTTTCATCCCCCTCCATTTTAATCACAAACCTTGGAAATGTGTTAAGGTTTATAAATGTTCTCAATGTTTGTACTTTTTATTATAAACTTTCCCTCACCACAATTCTCTTACAGGTTTCACCAAACCATTCCAGCTCCAATGGCCATTGGTTGGAGCATCTATTGGAGTGTTGTTGGCTCTAATATTGGGGGGCTTCATTGGGGTACATCTAAGCAGAAAGCGTCAGCATGGAGTTCTGTGGCTGCCTGCAGGTTTCAGCCGTCATCGAGCAGCAGATGGTAGCAGGAGAAGAGAACCTGTTGGAGAAGATTCTGTCCGACTCAAGTAAGTGTGTAAAATATTGGTGTATGAAGTTGTGAGATTTAGATTCTAAAAAAAACTTCTTATATTTTAAAATTAATTACAAATAAATATATCTAAACAGGAGCGTATTCTTATATGTATATATTTTATATTTTATTTTATAGTTGTGGAATTCTCAGACTCCCATACTCCCTAAAAACTATATTTCTCTTTGGCTTGCTCCATAATTTAAAAGATGTACAACTGAGTCTAGTAACCCATCTCTGACCTCTCACTTTTCCCTCCACAAATAAAAATAAACAGATATCTAAATACCACAAAGACAATGCAAACGTTTACCAAAAGATATAAAAGCACATTAAATGATATCTGAAATAAAAATACACATTTGCAGTCAGAGTAGGCATCCCAGTAAATCTGTCTATACTTGTGTCTGCACTAAAACGCCTGGTTAGTATTTCTAGGTAAAATTGTTTCGATACCTTTAACTCTCTCTTTCTCAGGCCATTAAAACATGACTCTGTTTACGATGAAGATTCTTCACCTGAGGAAGGCATTGTGCAGCCAAAATCCAGAAGACTGAAGGTGATATACACATATTTCCATCCATTGATATATGTTCATCATTCTGCCACATTTTACAGTTGAGCTCATCTACCTGTAAATTATTTTAACATTTAAGCTTACAGAGGATTCTACTATTCTTGATCATCGCCAATGGAGTCAGCAACATATTGATGCTGGAGTTCGCTTCCCACAATGCATTGCTCTCACACCTCCCCAAGAGGACCCAGACTGTAGAGACATCAATGTTAGAGGTCCAGGTACTCAAACCGTTAACTCTGTATCACTGAGGTATTGTTTTTCTCATAAACCCTCTGATTTCCTTTATGTATCACCAGTAAGCAAAGCATAGTATTGCATTTTTAATACTGCATTTATTTGCTGATGTACATACTTCTGCCATTCTTCAGGATCCAATTTAAAATTTTACAGAAAAATGTGGACCTAAATATTTTAGAATGGCTTACATCAATGTTTTTGTGAACTGGTTTGTTTGAATAATCCTACCCCTGATGTTTTCTTGTGTAATAGATGGAGTTACTCCACTCATGTCAGCAATCTGTGCTGGAGGTGGCCTGGAACCAGTTGGTGGTGGTGGAGATCCCCCAGAAGTGGAGACTTCAGCTGCAGTCATTTCTGACCTCATTGGCCAAGGGGCAAGCCTCAATGCTCAGACAGACTCCACCGGTGAGACAGCCCTTCACCTAGCTGCTCGATTCGCAAGGCAAGATGCCATCAAGTGCATGCTGGATGCTGGAGCAGACACCAATGTCAAAGATAGGTTTGGGAGGACTCCACTTCACACAGCTATTGCTGCGGATGCTCTAGGTGTTTTCCAGGTGATTTAGTGGGATGGAGTACGTGGGATTAAAGAAAAAAGAACGTTATGAGACATTTTGTGAAACAGTCTGAGAAACACGGGGTTGGTACAAACATGGGAGAAAAGTCTTCGTTCACCTATTCTTCAAAGAACATTTTCTTGTGTGGTTAGTTGTGTGAGCAATTGGCTTGTTTCCATTATTCGCTAGTTAGGGGAACATTTTCCAAATTGTACTGATGATGAGATTCATTTGTTGCCCTACATGGAGACAAGCACATAGCACAGCACCAGGTATACTACTGCAGGGGCCTTGTGGATTGTCTATATAGCAAACTCCTTGATTTTTATTGTTTTTGTAATCATTGTGCCATTAATTAACCATTAAAAAGTGTATGAGTGTTTCTTTCAAATCTGGGACATAGCTTTAGAAAGACTTAAGAGGGGAAATTTTGGTTGCCACATATGTGTGATGAAATGAACAGTCATGCAGATTATGTTTGGACTTGTGAAGCTAACATTCCATATAACTAGATGGCTGGAAATTTAAATTTGTTTTTTAATTGTAAGATGACTGCTTGAATTTGCTGCTAATTCACATTGCAAGTAGATGATGACTGCAAATGTTTGTCACTGATTTTTACCCAACATCTTCCTCAATAACAATTTTGATGCCTACCTTTGAAAATCTGTGCAAACAGTTCAAATGGCAAATACCAAAACGTTTCACACGGTTTCTTCACGTGCAAACAAGATTCTTCACATCATAATATTAAAATATCTTTAAAAATTTTACAAAATACCATTTGCAGAAGGGCAATGAAAGAATATATATCAATACAAAATAATCCTTTTTATCTTTTATAATGAAACATATTGCTGATTTCACAAGTCTTCTCAACCTAAATTCTAAAGTTTTTCTTTCCTCTCTATAGACCCTACTACGATGCCGGCAAACAGACATAGATGCTCGTATGAACGATGGATCCACTCCACTCATCTTGGCATCTCGTCTCCCAGTACAAAACATGGTGGAAGAGCTGGTGTCTTGTGGAGCTGAAATTGGCGCAACAGATAACAGGGGTTTGTGATGACATTATAAATATAAACTATCAGGAACTTAAGATCCTGTTATTAAGAATTTGTGTCTCTATTTATTGTATTATATATTATGTACAATTCCCCATCTCCTCTAACTATCTATTTCACCTTCTCCACAGGCAAGTCTGCATTGCACTGGGCAGCAGCCGTTAACAATGTGCCAGCACTAAGGACTTTGCTCTGTAATGGAGCAAACAAGGATCTCCAGGACAAGAGGGTAATAATTTAAACTATTCATGTTCTACCTTTGTTTGTTGACCCTTCCACTTCTTCTTCTTATGTTTTTTGAACCTCATCTTATAATCTTCCTCCATCTTTATCTTTTCTTTCTCATCTGTGTTGCATACTTATTTTTTACCATCTTATTTCCTCCTAACTTTCCATTTTTAAAAAACTTCCAACCAGGATCAGACTGCTCTCTTCCTTGCTGCCCGGGAAGGTAGTTTTGAGGCTGCCAGAATTCTAATCGAACATCAAGCAGATCGAGATCTTACTGACCATATAGGGCATCAGCCACGGCATGTTGCTCGAGAGCGAGGCCATAGGGACATCCTGCAACTTTTGGAAGAGCGTGGACCTTTGGTTAACAGAAGTACTTCTGTAACACCTTCTACTGGAGGTCCTCATTTAAAAAAGAATCAACGACCTCGACCCAAGGACTCAGTCAAGCCTCCCCCTTTACCACACATAGACTTGAGCAGCTCCTGTTATCACAATGCCCCACCTCTTTCAGCACCACCGTATGTTCCTGGTCCACCATCAGAGGGCAACTGCTGTCAGTCACACCACCCTACAGTCAACTATGGGGGTAACTTCCCTCCCTACACTCGGAGTGGCTCCTTCTCATCAGGTGTGGCACAATGCCAGTGGGCAAATAGAGGTTGGAGAGTTCATTTTTGTACAACAGTACCTGAGGCACCCTATACAGGGGAGGCCCAACAGCTTTCTCCTCATGCTCAGTGGCTACCAGAATCACATCATCCCCAGTCTCCAAAATGCCAAAATCCAATAGCTGGCTTCTGCTCTACGCCAGCCTTGGAATCCCAAACTACGAAAGACATGCCCTGCACTCCCACTGACCAGTTAGGTCACAGCTTATATTTGACACCTCCTCCATCTCAATATGGCTACCCTTCCCCTGCCAGCCCAGAGGAAATATCTTCCACCCAAACAACTTGCATGCACCACCATCCTTTCCTCACTCCTTCCCCAGAGTCACGGAATACCTGGGGCATTGCATCACCATAAAAAAAAATGAAATCTTTTAATCAGATTGAAAGGCAATTAATGGACTTAGTGATGCACTGAAGCAAGACTGCAAAACAGGATCTTATTTGCTAGGCTTAAAAAAGCAATGGTTTTATAAATCTAGCCGGCCCAAAGGCTCCATGAGGCCATTCATTTATTTGGGTCTAGTCTCCCAGCCGGTGAATTTGATAGCTGTATTGCCAGTCCTGTTAGGGTTGAGGAGAGCTAGGCTGAAGGACTATATTACAGAGATTATGACAATGAAGCATTTCTTACAGCTACTTGAGCTAGCAAAAATGGCAATGTCTGCAAAAAGAACATTTAGCTTAATGAAACGTGTATTCTGTAGTTCCTCCACATGTGACAGTCTTCATTTTTAACGAAGTGTGCACGGTCCGAGGGCAATAATACAAATATGCATCAACATGTCTGAACATATGTAGTTAAATATTGGCTAGCAATGTCCAGCCGTACATTAGCTGTCAATAAAGTGATTTTCTAGAAAGTGGAAAGGAGGTACCCACTCAAGGTCGAAATCCTGGCTAAAGAATTGACTGTATATAAATCCAAATGCTCCCCAGAGGTCATGTGAATTTACAGTACAAACCAGTTAGTGGTTATTAACTTAACGTACATACAGATGCAGCAATGGGTATATAGTGAATCATAAATGTAAAAATTCTGCCAACTTTTTCAAACCAACAGCAAAGGAGCCAACTGTTCATTCTGGGTTCCGATTTGTCCACGCAAACAATTTGAGATGATTGTCATTGCATTTCTGTCCATCTGTGTATTAAACTTAATATAAATTATCTGTGGTATGTCTAAAAAAACCAAACTTTAAATAAATAAACAAACTAACTCATTGGATAGAAACGGGTAAGTGGCGTGCATAAATGGTGCAAACTTTACACTAATTTTCCATCTGCTTGTCTGTTGTTTCATTTTCTTGAAATTCAAGGTGGAAAGTAGATTTTGCATTTTGCTACAGTCTACATTATGTGAATCTGATGAGGGATTACAAGCCGGCATTTCTAACACTATTACTTATGCCCTTGTTTCAAATACAGTTGATTTACTTGAACATATGAACATAGACATGCACAGGGCGTGTGCCAGGTGTGATATACACGAATGCAGGGTCAAATTAAACTTCCTGCCCCCTGTTTATTCTGTGCAGTTTTCTGTGAGCTTGGAGTAGCTTTTGTTTTTGAGGAAAATCTCTGTATAAATTTATTTATCACTAAATTAGAAATAATTTTTTTGTACAGTTTAGATTTTTCAATTTATACAGACATCCACTCTAGTGGCCTGGTATGAATTGGTATGATAGTGTGAAAGTATGAAATTTTGCTTTAAAAGACAAATTTAAACTGGAAGTACCACAGGTTCCCAAAACGTCTGGGTAAGTGTTAAAGCATTCATTAACGGTTAGACAGATTACTGGCGTCTGGCATCTGTGCACTTCTGGCACCATAACCACTACACTACACATAGTGTGTTTGATAAAAAATAAATATAAAAGAGTATCCAGGACCTTATATTAACAATGGTATTAGCACATATATTATTAAAATAGTCACAAAAGTGGGAAAACCAGAATAATGGATGGCTTAATATTAATACTAATTCAAAAATCCAAATAGTAATTGCACACCAAATCAGTCCAAAAGGGGGACTGATTTGGTGTGCAATCACTATTTGGACTTTTGAATTAGTATTAATATTAAGCCATCCATTATTCTGGTTTTTTCACTTTTGTGACTATTTTAATAATATATGTGCTAATACCATTGTTAATATAAGCTCCTGGATACTCTTTTATATTTATTTTTTATGTATATGTATAGGATCTGATGAGACCCTGTCTTTCCAGTTTAAGAGCTTTATTTAATTACTTGTCTTATTCCCTCTTATACATTTTTTAATAGCCAAAAATAATTTTCTGACTATTAGGATTTAATTTTATAGTGTGTTTCATGCCTAGCGTTTTCCTTTAAAGTTACAAAATGGCCCTTTAATGTCAGACAATTATTCAGGTAATAATAGCAGAAAAAAACACATTTTGCATACTGATCCCCCAATGATGGATTCTTGAAAAAAAATCTGTGGCAGCCATCACTAAAACAGACTACAAATGAAGCTCACAGAGGGAACACAATAATGATCCAGTATTATAAACTGTTTGTTTTTAACGAAGTAGGTAGACACAATTCTTGCAATCACAGGACACTTAATGCTGCACTAAACGGTGAAGGAAAACTACAAACACATCATAAATATACACCTCTGCAGGAATACACATCCCTGATAGATTATCTACCTTTCTGGCAAACATGGCGTCACATTTCCGTCTTCCCACAATGCATCATTACACTACTTGTGATCTTCCCACAATGTACCACTACACTACCTGTGATCTTACCATCTTCCCACAATGCACCACTACACTACCTGTGATCTTACCATCTTCCCACAATGCATCACTACACTACCTGTGATCTTACATCTTCCCACAATGCACCACTACACTACCTGTGATCTTACCATCTTCCCACAATGCACCACTACACTACCTGTGATCTTACATCTTCCCACAATGCACCACTACACTACCTGTGATCTTACATCTTCCCACAATGCACCACTACACTACCTGTGATCTTACATCTTCCCACAATGCATCACTACACTACCTGTGATCTTACCATCTTCCCACAATGCATCACTACACTACCTGTGATCTTACCATCTTCCCACAATGTACCACTACACTACCTGTGATCTTACATCTTCCCACAATGCATCACTACACTACCTGTGATCTTACCATCTTCCCACAATGCATCATTACACTACTTGTGATCTTACCATCTTCTCACAATGCATCACTACACTACCTGTGATCTTACCATCTTCTCACAATGCACCACTACACTACCTGTGATCTTACATCTTCCCACAATGCATCACTACACTACCTGTGATCTTACCATCTTCCCACAATGCATCATTACACTACTTGTGATCTTACCATCTTCTCACAATGCATCACTACACTACCTGTGATCTTACCATCTTCCCACAATGTACCACTACACAACCTGTGATCTCACCATCTTCCCACAATGCACCACGACATTACCTGTGATCTCACCATCTTCTTACAATGCACCACTACACTACCTGTGATCTTACCATCTTCTCACAATGCACCAATACACTACCTGTGATCTCACCATCTTCCCACAATGCACCACTACACTACCTGTGATCTTAACATCTTCCCACAATGCACCACTACACTACCTGTGATCTTAACATCTTCCCACAATGCACCACTACACTGGCCTGTGATCTTCCCAAGATGCACCACTAAACTACTTTGATCTTACCATCTTCCCACAATGCACCACTACAATACTGTGATCTTACCTTCTTCCCACAATGCACCACTACACTACCTGTGACCTGATTACCATCTTCCCACAATGTACCACTACACAACCTGTGATCTCACCCTTCCCACAATGTACCTGTGATCTCACCATCTTCTTACAATGCACCACTACACTACCTGTGATCTTACTATCTTCCCATAGTGAACCACTACACTACCTGTGATTTTCCCACAGTGAACCACTGCACTACCTGTGATCTTACCGTCTTTCCATAATGCACCATACACTACCTTTGTTTTAGCAGAGTGGTCACATTGTGCCCTTTACTTTTGTGTATTTATATATTTATTTCATCATTACACTACTTGTGATCTTCCCACAATGTACCACTACACTACCTGTGATCTTACCATCTTCCCACAATGCACCACTACACTACCTGTGATCTTACCATCTTCCCACAATGCATCACTACACTACCTGTGATCTTCCCAAGATGCACCACTAAACTACTTGTGATCTTACCATCTTCCCACAATGCACCACTACAATACCTGTGATCTTACCTTCTTCCCACAATGCACCACTACACTACCTGTGATCTTACCATCTTCCTACAATGTACCACTACAATACCTGTGATCTTACCATCTTCCCACAATGTACCACTACACAACCTGTGATCTCACCATCTTCCCACAATGCACCACGACATTACCTGTGATCTCACCATCTTCTTACAATGCACCACTACACTACCTGTGATCTTACTATCTTCCCATAGTGAACCACTACACTACCTGTGATTTTCCCACAGTGAACCACTGCACTACCTGTGATCTTACCGTCTTTCCATAATGCACCATACACTACCTTTGTTTTAGCAGAGTGGTCACATTGTGCCCTTTACTTTTGTGTATTTATATATTTGTCCTTAACGCTTGTTATCAGGTCAGAGCCAGAATATTTAGTGAATAATCTTCATAATGATCTGCTCTGAGGAGGATACACAAAAGAGAATAAAGTCTGTTTCTTTTAAAAGGCTAATATTATATAATTAAATTAAAATATTATGAGGTACATTTGAGACATCAATAGTCCAGTCTTTATTTGCCCACTAACCTCCAATTATTTATTTTCTTCTCCTGTTTTAGTGCCATTATTCATGGGTTTATCAGTTTAGCTTAAAGAAAAACAACATCAAAGGGAAAATTGTTGGCCATTGTTAGAGCTAAAAGCAAACAAAACCGTCCTTCATACAAGTTCATACTGATGGTCATCAGCTCCCCTGTGTTATCAGAGAGATGTCACAAAGAGGCCTATTATAAAAAAAACAAAAAAACTATTCTATCGTTCCCAAGGAACGGAGGCCTGAACTAGCAGCCTGGCCGCTAATTTATCAAGTAGTGTCCTCTTCTTCCACTCCATGTAAAATGGGATAATTACATGTGTAATGCACTGTAAATGCATGAAATCCTAAAACCTCCTAGTCGACATAATAAAAACTTAACTAAAAGCCCATGAGAGAAACCTACAAATATCTTAATGCATTTAACTAAGAGGACATGTTCTGTAGAAAATAAATGGAAAAGGCTAGTTCAAAGCTAAAGTTAAAGAAATAAATGTATAGGGTGATGTAATTAAATACGTCATAGAACAGGTTCCAGGTGCATTGAATTACCTTCCAGCAGGTGTGGTAGAGATTAATACAATTTAGGAACTGATTTGCCCTAAAGTAGCAATATGTACCTGTGATATCAAAGGATGCTATAGTAGTGAGTGACCAAAGAGCAAAAAATCCAGGAATTAAAGTAATTACTCTGCGTGATCCGTCAAGGTGTGATTAACAGTATTCCCTGTCCACATGGGCACTTAAACAAATGAGCCTGGGTTGGCTTGTTATGTTTGTGAAGAGGGGATCATGATTATCTCAGCATACATCTTGCGATCTCTAGAACAAACGTGTGTAATACTAGAATAAGTATTTTATAAGTAAAAATGTAGATGGTCATTTTCTCTTGGTGAGCAACCTAGCGTACATCTGCGAACGATTAATAGCAGATATACCGGGTAAACTTCCAAGTGAATTTAAAGTAAATTTCAAATCGAAAGCCAGAGAAGCTAGAGTGGACATATAGCTGGAAGGATAGAATTTTTCCATTTTGGCTACCGTTACCTTAAATTTTAAATTAACTTTCAGTTCACTTTGAAATCTCACTTTATTAAATAAAAATGTTAGTGTGCAAATATGTTCCACAACATTTGTTTAATGGGTTTATAAACAAAACAAACAAATTATGGCAAACAGAAAGGGGAACAGAAGCAAGAAATGATGATGGTTGTCCAATCTCCAGGAAGGTGGATGTTATTACAATCAGAGGTAAAGAGCAGTCTGTCCACAGGGGAAGAGAGATTATCAGGTGTGCAGTCCTTGTAAGATGTAAGGGTAGGATGTGTGCAGTAGCTGTGGTGTAAAAAGGTGAACAGGGTGAATTCAATGCAAATGCAAGCTGTGGCCACAGTGGTATTAGAGTTTCGGAACCATAAATCCTAAATATATCCCGTGAAGATCCTTCCCTGCTGCTGTCACGCCAGCCTCCTATTGCTGATGCATTAGGGTAGATAGATACAGAACAGAAAAACCGAGGGCAGCGCTTCTCGTAATGCAAAATTGTGCACAAAGTGTAACACAACTGTTTTGTTGCAGAACATGTCCATCAGTAAAACAGTTGTGTATCACTTCAAGCACAATTTTGCATTCGAAGACACGCTTCTTGCGTTTTTTCTGTTTCAAGTGCATGTTCTGTTAGGTGACAGGCATAGAGAAAGGAATGTCATAGTAAGCTATTCAAACTTAATCAGCAGTTATGTATTTCTAAAAGGGCTGGAAGGTAGAGAAAGTCAGATTAGAAGAGTGAAGTGATTCAAGAGGAATCCCATGTGAGATCTGGTGGTGTAAACAGATTACGCTAAGGGTATAGTGGTTGAGAATGTGTGATGGTGAGACATGAGGTATAATTAGGGGTAAGGGCTCTGCAGGGGAGTGTCAGGATATTATCACTAATCGTAAAAGACCCAGAATGCAAGACATGGGATGAGTAGTGGGTATTAGTATCACCAGGAGCCATGGTGATATATATTATTTATAAGGATCCAACATATACTGACGTACAATGGGTGGATGACACACATAATTAAATTTAACAAGACAGATTTAATTAGGAGGTGGTAAAGAAGACTGTGATCGAATGATCTCGCAATCTAAAATAAAGATGTAATTTAAGCATGAGGAAAACTGATGAAGAAAGACTTATAATGATTGATAATAATCTTATAATGTCTTATAATTATCTTAAATCAGAATAGTGAAAACACAAGCAAATCTGAGATGAAAAGAGAAATAATCAGTTTGTTGCGTTTTCCCCTTCAATTTCTTTTTTTTGGGGGGGGGATGTTGTCTCAGCAATGATTAAAAGCATATATTAGCTAATAAGTGATTGGATTAAAAAAAAAAAAAAACATACATAAAAACATACATCACGATTGTTATTTTGTGCAATAAAAGCCAAAATGTTTTGAGACAAGATGGCATAATGTTCTTTATTTATAGCCAAACGATGCTTAACAAGTTCCCAACACAATTTTTGTAGAAGGAAGTGAGAAAGCCTTCATGATTGCCAATGAGTTTACTATTGCATTGACACTAACGGTTTAAACAAAAGTCAAAGCATAATCTAAAAACATACCTTACCATTGGTTTCATTATTTACAGATAGTTAATTGTTAAGGGAAAATGCACCCCCGACACATGTTCACAATAGCAAGCATCCTAAAATATTCACAGATTCATGTTTAACATTTTTCTCATACCCTGGAAGACCTAACAAGACTAGAAATGTTACTCTCCAAGAAACGGCTAAAAAAATAATTAAAAAGTGCAGGTAGGGATTCAAATGGAGGGCAGAGGTACAATTGGCTTATCATTGGCTTAATATGGCACACTATGATTATTTATTACACTGTTTCCTATAATACAATCTGGTAGTGGCTCAGCAATGCATTTTGGGGTATTCTGGGGACCATTATATCCAACCCTCGCTTTCTTTTGGGGGGTGCTGAATTTATCTATTCTGATATTATATTTTTAGTGGCAAATAAGACCAGCACAGATGAGAAACATTTTCTAGAATGTAATTAAATACATTTTGAAGTTATAAATACGTTTCTATATTTCTATCAGCGTGAGTAGGACCTTTCTTTATTTAAGCAAACTATGTCTTTATTGTAAATAGTCAAAGGTTTGTTGAAATAGTTACCTCTGATTTACGACTGTGGACTTAACTTGCAATTTAATTTATTGTACCATTAATGCTGGTAAAATGTATATGCCACAGTAATACAGCACCCTCTACTGCCCAATTGGGTTATTGCAGCTTGTTAAAGGGAAACTGACACCACATTTTCACTTGTGTTTTAAAAGTTTATTATATTTAATGAAATGTAATGATATTTTGTATAATGATTGTTTTTATCTGGCTTAGTAGACACTGGTGTTATCTAACTGCTGCTCAATCTAAACGGCTCGCAGTTTCACATAGAGAAATCAAATCACAGCATCAGCCACGTTAGGCTGAGCAGCGGTCGGTCAAATAGCAGTAGAGTCTAAACCAACATGGCTGCTCAGCCAGATAAAGAAAGTAAGATTTTATCAAAAATGAAAAACAAAAAAACAGTATACATCATTTTGTTTTTGTTTGTCTTTTTAAATAGGTGAAGATGTGATGACAGCTGTCCTTTAAGGTAACTTTTAGACTGCATTGCCCAACAGGACAATTTCATTTATTTTAAAGATCCACCTGTACAGCCTTTCATCTATTAGGAAACATATTCTAACACAGTACAAGCAAAAAATCAAAAACAACAAAACATAGCTATCTGCCAGTGGTAATGCTTTGAGTTGATGTATTAAGACCCTGATTGTGACTCTTTTCACTGCTTTTACCTTATGGACCAAGGTTTGCAAGCTTAGAATTAAAAGCAGTTACAAAGCCGTCATTCTCTAATTATAATGTATTTCACGATTGAGCATAGTCTCCATTTATTTTTGGCAACAGCGTGAAGACTGTTAGCCTTTTTGTTTTCTAAATAGCTATTCAGCCCTATATTATGCAAATCATTCCTCAACTTACTACAAATCAATGCCTACCGCTAACACTCCCACAACATATTACTTACTGTTTTGCTATAGAACTAAGGCTGGACTCAAATTGGCAACAAAATGGCCACTGAATTATAGCTACTCAGCAAATTTGCTTATCTTTAATTTGCTTATCATAGGGACAATAACAAGTTCTTCTGGGCAAAGTCTCAGCAGACTTTAATCCGGACATGGATCTGCTAGGATAACCTGTTTATTGCAACAGAATGCTGCAATCAGGCCCGTCGCGACAAGGCAAGCAAACCAAGCAATTGCTTGGGGCCCCAAGACAACGACCAGGGATGTATTAGCCGCAAGGCAAACAAGGCATTTGCCTTGGGCAGCACTTTCTAGGGGGCAGCAAAAAAAGCCACCCCAAATGCCCAGGGCAAATGTCTTCAATCCGGTCGGGTGGCACTGGCGAGGGAGCACTTTCCCCTGAGCGCTCTGCTCAGCTCCCTCACCAGCACCACCCGACCAACCACCCAGTAGCCCCACTAGACCCCAGGGAGAGGGAGAACCCCCCCCCCCCAGCATTGTGTTTGTCTGTTAGTGTGTGTGTGTGTGTGGGTCTGTTAGTGAGTGAGTGTGTGTCTGTTAGTGAGTGAGTGTGTGTGTGTCTGTTAGTGTGAGTGTGTTTGTCTGTTAGTGTGTGTCTGTTAGTGTGTGTGTGTTTTAAGTATGTTGGATTTAGTTATTTTTTAATGTATATTTTATTTTATGGTACAGTGATGTTTTTTGCAAATGTTCAATTGTTGAAAATGTTCACATTTTATGCACATTATATGCAACAGCAGTATTTGCACTGTAAACATTTTTTATTTATGCACAGTATATGCAACAGCAGTATTTGCACTGTAAACGTGTGGGTGACCTTAAACTGTATGGCTATGCTGTGATTCCTGTAGGCTTTTGCATTGCAGGCGGGGGGGCTCGAGGGGGCCTCCATGTCTATTTTGCTTGGTGCCCCCAAATTCCTTCAAACAGCCCTGCCTGCAACTCTCCATCGTTTGCAAATCATCCTTTCATGGGAGATCCTACATGATGCTACCAGACCCATGTGCCATATACAGTTCTGCAATTTACAATAATGATTACTTCAGCTAACCAAACACAATTTATCATCAACAGTGCAGTTTATGGAAATCTAAAATGGCCACACTGTAAACTAAACTGCTTTTCTATTTGTGGAATAAATGTTCAATGTTTTAGAATTAGTAAACACGTAGTGACCTATGCCAACTCGCCCAAGCTTGTATTTCTGATGAGACAAGGCTAGGTCTATTGCACTCTTGCTAGAACTGATATTTCTGTCGCACACCACCCCTTCCCCCCTTGGAACACCCCCCTCCCCATAGCCATTCCTTATTGCACACTCCATGGCTCTCATTAAAAATGGTGTACACAGGACTGGCCTTGACTTTGGTCCCACAATAACTTGTCTCTATAAGAATCTACCTACTTTGTCTCTATGGATGAGCCTTGATGCTCTGACAGGAAGTGGAAGTTGAGAAAAGACAAAACCACTGTTTTGCCTTATTTCATTGGTTTTAGCTAACACAAGCTAGAAAATTTAACAAAACATCCTTAATTTCATTGTTTATGACATTTGAGGGTCTCCAGTGTTAGAAGAAAAGTTTTTTTTCTCCTTCTATTTCCATGCTTGGTTTATTGAATGTTGTCCATTTCATATCTCTCTCCACCTTGGAAAATGGTGGGTTAGGAAAAAGCTAAATATAGTGAGTTCTTTAATCATTATGGGTCCCCATAGTTTGCAAGTTGGAGAATTGGAACTCCATAAATGATGCATTCACAAACATTAGAAGAGAGAAAAAAGATAAATGCTTGGCCAGTCTTGCTTTATGAGCAAGCGTTCTCCAGTGGGGAAGGAAACTCCACTCTTTGCTCATCCATGCGATTTCCCTGGACACGGAAGAGGATCTCAAATAAATCTGCAGCAGACGATGGAAGAGGTGGTGAACAGCGCTGGTCTTCCATCCTCTGAGCCTGCAACAAATAAAACCAAGTGGAATCTCACTGTAGGAAGTTAATGGCCAAAACAAGCAGAGAAAAAAAAACTTAAACGGAAGTTATCGTTTTCGGTTACCTATTGAGCTTTAGATCGAAGAATGTAGAGAGCTCAAACAGTGTTGCAGTGTTGTTAAAATGTAACTCCACTTTTATTTCCTTTATAGTTAGCGTGTGTTTACATTGTGCTTACAAAACAAATGCCGTTCATATCTCACTGCTTTGTTATAAACAATAGCGCACCTGGATCTGTTAGCACAATAATTCCTGTAGGGACACACTGTATATCGCTGTCCTAAGTGAGCTATTGATACTTAACTTTGTTGATTTTTATTTACACTGAACAAAAATTATAAACACAACACTTTTGTTTTAGCCCCCATTTTTCATGAGCTGAACTCAAAGACTTTTTCTATGTACGCAAAAGGCCTATTTTTCTCAAAAATTGTTCACAAATCTGTCTAAATCCGTGTTAGTGAGCACTTCTCCTTTGCTGAGATAATCCATCCACCTCACAGGTGTGGCATATCAAACATGATTATTGAAAAGGTGTGCCTTAGGCTAGCCACATTAAAATGCCACTCTAAAATGTGCAGTTTTATTACCCGGCACAATGCCACTGATGTCGCAAGTTTTGATGGAGGGTGCAATTGGCATGATGACTGCAGGAATGACAAGAAGAGCTGTTCATTTCTCTACCATAAGCCGTCTCCAAAGGCGTTTCAGAGAATTTGTCGGTACATCCAACCGGCCTCACAACCGCAGACCACGTGTAACCACACCAGCCCTGGACCTCCACATCCAGCATCTTCATCTTCGTCTGAGACCAGCCACCCGGACAGCTGCTGCAACAATCGGTTTGCTTAAACAAAGAATTTCTGCACAAACTGTCAGAAACCGTCTCAGGGAAGCTCATCTGCATGCTTGTCATCCTCATCGGGGTCTCGACCTGACTGCAGTTCGGCGTCGTAACCGACTTGAGTGGGCAAATGCTCACATTCGATGGTGTTTGGCACTTTGGAGAGGTGTTCTCTTCACGGATGAATCCCAGTTTTCACTGTACAGGGCAGATGGCAGACAGCGTGTATGGCGTTGTGTGGGTGAGCGGTTTGCTAATGTCAACGTTGTGGATCGAGTGGCCCATGGTGGCGGTGGGGTTATGGTATGGGCAGGCGTATTTTATGGACAACGAACACAGGTGCATTTTATTTATGGCATTTTGAATGCACAAAGATACCGTGACGAGATCCTGAGGCCCATTGTTGTGCCATTCATCTACGACCTCATGTTGCAGCATGATAATGCACAGCCCCATGTTGCAAGGATCTGTACACAATTCCTGGAAGCTGAAAACATCCCAGTTCTTGCATATGACAGCGTCTTCCAGGTCCTGCCGATATCCAGCAACTTCGCACAGCCATTGAAGAGGAGTGGACCCCCCCGGACCCTGCTGATACAGTAAAACTGCACATTTTAGAGTGGCCTATTATTGTGGCCAGCCTAAGGCACACCTGTGCAATAATCATGCTGTCTAATCAGCATTTCGATTTGCCACAGCTGTGAGGTGGGGGGATTATCTTGGCAAAGGAGAAGTGCTCACTAACACAGATTTAGACAGATTTGTGAACAATATTTGAGAGAAACAGGCCTTTTGTGTACATGAGTTCAGCTCATGAAAAACAGGGGCAAAAACAAAAATGTTGCGTTTATAACTTTGTTCAGTGTAGTTAACTTCTTGCATTAGTGCTTTATTTAATAAATGCAGATCTCTGAATTTGTAATTTGCCATTTCTAAGTCTGCATAGCACGACTGGTGTATTTATTATAATAATAAATACATCTTGTCTATCTATCTGTCTGTCTATCTAGATATCCTGCACGTCCAACTCGTCTTGTTGCAACTACTTACTACTTATTTGTTGGTCCTACTATTGTGCAGTGCTGTGGAATGTGCTGGCACTACATAAATTAATTTTTTTTATCTATCTATCGACCTATCTGACTGTCTGTTTGTCTATCTGTCTTTCTGTCTATGTGTCTGTGTGTCTGTCTGGCATCTATGTGTATGTCTGTGTGTTTATCTATGTATCTGTCTGTCTATCTATCTATCTGTCTATCTATGTGTCTATCTATCTATCTATGTGTCTGTCTGTCTATCTATCTATCTCTATGTGTCTGTCTATCTATCTATCTATCTATCTATCTATCGGTCTATCTATTTATCTATCTATCTCTATGTGTCTGTCTATCTATCTATCTATCTCTATATATGTCTGTCTGTCTCTCTCTCTCTCTCTATCTATGTGTCTATCTGTCTATCTATCTATCTATGTGTCTATCTATCTATCTATCTGTCTGTCTATCTATCACTATGTGTCTGTCTATCTATCTAGCTATCTATCTAGCTATCTATCTGTCTGTCTGTCTATCTATCTGTCTGTCTATGTATCTAGCTATCTGTCTATCTATCTATCTGTCTATCATTATTATGATATTTATAGAGCGCCGTCAAATAGATAGATAGGTGGGAGCAGCATTATATAGAGATTTGAAAGCAAGAACCAGAATTTTACATTGAGCTCTATATTTTATAGGAAGCTAATGTAGGGACTTACAGAAGGGTGAGGCATGGGAGGTGCGGGCGGACAGGAAGATGAGCCTCGCCGCCGCATTCATTATGGACTGTAACGGCGCAAGTTGGGAGCACGTAAGACCACTAAGAAGCGGATTACAGGAGTCAAGCCGAGAGAGGACAGTGGAATGGACCAACACCTTAGTCGCATCTGGCGTTAAGTAGGGGCAGATGAGCGCATTGTTTTTGAGATGGAAATGACAGGATTTGGCGATAGATTGAACATGAGGCTTGAAGGAGAGGTCGGAGAACACCTAGGCAGCGAGCCTGCGTGATGGAGCTGATGGTAGCACTGTTGACTTGGAGGCAGACAGACACAGGAGTAACAACACTTGAGGGAGGAAAGACCAGAATTTCAGTTTTGGTCAAGTTTAGTCAATCTATGTGTCTATCTATCTATCTATCTATCTATCTCTCTGTCTGTCTGTCTGTCTGTCTGTCAATCTATCTTCTATCTATCTATCTGTCTATCTGTCTATCTATCTATCTATCTATCACTATGTGTCTGTCTATCTATCTATCTATCTATCTATCTGTCTGTCTGTCTGTCTGTCTATATATCTACCTGTCTGTCTATCTATCTATCTGTCTGTCTGTCTATCTATCTATCTATCTATATGTCTATCTATTTATGTGTCTGTGTGTCTAGTGCTTTTCTGTACCCACATATGTATTTTATAAAGGAAAACCAAAGAAGTAATTTAAATATTAGCATATGTATCATCATTAAAATGAGGTGAAGGTTTACACAATCGTCTCCATTGCACAGAGCCAACTTCTGTTATACACAAACAGGCCACATCTTGCATATTATTACACCCCTCTGCTACCAACAATGCTGGAAGGATAAAACCAGTCAGCCCGAAAGAAACACACAATAGCATATCAGCTGCCAGCCTGATCTCAGCTCTTGTGAAGGAAGCAGCCCCAGCTCCCAGCTGTTCATTTATTCAGAGTGAGGACGGGGGAGATTTTAACCTCTAAGCCGGGATAACAACGGCCTTGGCCCAGATCATGTTATACCCATGTCCCTGCCTAGCTCACTAAATAATCTAGCAGCCAGGCTTGGCAGAGATACTAGAGGGACCTCAATGCCTCTCCCCAGGAGTGCAGGGTGTGCTAGCACTCAAAGCTACATGCACAGAAAGAATTAGAATTGAATAATAAGAACCCTTCTCCTGTGCCACCATGCGTCATGTCAATGGAAGGCAGTCAAAGAATTGATCCCATACCTCATCATTTAAATTACAGGAAATAATTCATATTGATTACATGTGAAACCATGATCTAAATATCAGATAAAATATCATACAAGAGGACCATATATTGTTCAATCAGTTCTTTATCATTTCTTACCTGGTGGTCTAGAATGGTATTATATAACTTCTCCTGGGCTGGGATCTTTATTGTTGGCGGTTTCTTTTTCTGACTTCTTATAGCCCAAGAGCTGCCCCTTCGGTGTTGTAGCTCTGAGAGAATCCCTTTATCATCACTGGGCAGGGAGAGCTGGCGGTAGCTGGGGAAAGAGAAGTGGCGGGTGTGTCGCGGGCGCAGAGGGGGTAACTCTGCTCTCTGTTCTTCTAGGCGCCGTGTCTGAGCAGTTGAGAGGAGTTCAAGGAACTCTTCAGTATGGAGGGAAAGGAGAGAGGAGGAGATACCTGCATGCAAAAGAAGAAATAGTTTTAAACAAAACACACGGGCAACTGTCCTATGTAAGGATAGATAATAAAAGCGAGAAACATTGACAGCTGCAGAGAAATTGGATCTATCTATGGAGGATCCTGCGGTCTCATGGGATCTTCCTGAGACCTCAATGCTGTAGTCTCCCACATGCGCAAGAGTACAGCAGTGACGTTGGCTCCCCCCCAACCAGTAGACCTCCAGCTGCGATTTATCATTGTACATGTACATTTCCTTGTACACATAATTCTTGGGACACTTGGCATATGGGACAAGCAGATAGCACCAGTATGACTAAGGTTAACAGGAGCCTATAGTCCTGGAAATCATATATAAGTTCCTTTGTTCATCCAGTTTTTGTCAACAACTGCAAGCTTAAAGGGACACTCCAGGCACCCGAATAACTTGCCACGAGGCCCCTGGGTGCACTCTTGCTTCAAGGATTTAAACTATTCTGAAATGGTTTAACCCCTAAGTTGCCTCAAGCACTGGTCTCCACTCCTCTGTTGATGGTTTCCAGCTTCTGAATTCTGAGATTCGGGAAGCGCGGATTGCCCTCAGGCAGGGGCGCCACTGATTGGTTGAGAGCGCTCAGCGACTCCCAATTCACTAAAATGGCTTGCAAAGAAGTTTAGTGAATGGGGAGTCACTTTTTGCCTCAGAGCATCAGCTGACCACTGTCAACCAATCAGTGGCACCCCTGCCCAGTGGCACTCTCTGCTTCCTGAATCTCAAAATTCAAAAGCTGCCAGAAGAGGAGTGGAGACCAGAGCTAGAGGCAACTTAGGGGTTTAGATGAAGCTGTTTAGATGAAGTTGTTCAATTACATGCAGTTGTTTTTGTGCCTGGAATCTCCCTTTAATATTCTTTACGTACCTTGATCCAGCACGGAGACACTGCCACGGAGACTTTACCTTATCACTATTACTGATATCTTCTTCTTACAGAGATGCATTGTGGACAAGAAGTGCCTGCAAGGCTTCGCAACTCTCCTCCAATCAAATGCTCTTTGTGAGAAGCATTGAATGAAGAACCAAGTATGGCAGGTTCACCAGAAGAGGAAGCACCAGGATGACAGCCACTACAGGTGTGTTTAGTCGTGCAATGTATACATTGCCGTATCTGAAAAACCTCAATGTTTAACATGGAGGACTAAACCGACAGGGCCACTTTACTCACACCACTTCATTGAGAGAAAGTGGCTGGCTGCCTACAGTGTCCTTTATAGTCAATGAGAGCATTCAGATCCCATCACTTGTCCAAATCTGAAATAGAGATGCATTCTGGGTTACTGTTCTAGCGACTGTTTAGGGTAGAATTGAGGTTCATTGTGGCTTGTTACAAGATGACAATTGATTCATTTAATTCTGAATGAGAGTTCAGCAATGACCTGAGGAACTCTTAGACCAAGATACTGGTTGGAGTAGGAATAGCGATAACATAAATCATTTTGGTTCAACCACCAGTCCAAATGCAGGCAACTCTTGTCACATGACTATTGCCGTACATTTTAAAGAATCAGAATTGAAGTTGTGAAATCAGAGAGAACCAAGGCTAATATTAAAAGAGTAATGTGTCAGCAGAAACAATTCAATACAGAAGATTGGGCCACAATCTGCCATACAGACTCAAAAGATAAGTTCACATGCTACTTTGAAATTATATAACAGTCAAAAACATAATAATGTATCATTGCTGGTATTAGAAGTAAGATTAAGGTCAATATACAAGATCTTCAGGCAAAATGGGATCAGAATGCGACCTGGGCACGCAACGCAACCTGGAAATACGAATTGGAAAATAAAGAATTTTCTTGTTACCTCTTCTCTCCCTGACAGGTGAGGGGGGAGCAGATCTCCAGACTCGTGGTCTCTCTTCCTGGTCATCTTGAGAAACGTTACCATCATCCTGGAAAACAGACTCTTCTTCTGGAAACGTCTGAAGAGGAAGTTTGTGAAAGGGACAGCTGATCAGAGCATTGTGGTGATGGTTTGCTGCTGTTATAAACCCCTTTTTATTTTTGCTTTTGTTTAACATATTGGGTAGCGTAGCCCTCAGCAGCTCAAGTTCCAAAGGTTAGTTAGAACAGGGATTTGTACTTCCTCATTTTACACCATTTTTCCCAAACAAGTAACCCTGATTTGATGATAATATATAGTAAATATTATACCCAGGAGTGTGCTAGTCCTTAGAGATACAGGTACCCGTACAGACTGGCAAATCTGTCACAATGTAGATTCTCTGCTAAAGATCCGGATTGCCCAAAAGGGAGATTGTCCTTATTGATTGCCCAGAAGTAGGATTAGAATGTTTAGAACTACAATTTCCGTGATGTATTGCCATTCTAATGGCTCGCAAAGCATCATGGGAGTTGTAGTTAAACAACATTTGAAAATCTACCTCTTGTAGGTTGTTAGCTGCATACAACCTATTGTATCATTGTCTTTCTACCCATCAAACTAACGTTTATTCCCTTTACATACTGTATCCGGTGCTTTGGCATTATTATTATTATCATGTATAATAAAGTGGTCTCCTTGTACTCACCTCGGTAGAAGGGTCACCTTCTCCTCTTTCTGACGTCGTCTGATTTTCTAGAAATGTCACTGATGACTCTCCTTGCGCACTCATCATTAAAACGCACCTTTTCGCTCCTTTTCCCTCTTCTCTACATATATATCTATTTCTCGTTCTCCCGGTCTCGCTTCTTCTTTCTGCTTGTTTGTCTATGCGTCTTTTTCTTTTTTCCCCCTCAGACGGAAGGTCAGAACCTGACAATCACAATTTTAAAATAGACGAATATTAGTGTATTTCTTTATACAAGTGCATGTATACATTGAATTGCATATGTATTCATATACCACTTTTTGCATCGTTTAATGGATCGTTTGAATAGATTAAGCCCAAAGTTTCAGCAACATGTGATAATATATCTTATATTATCTTATCTTATCTTACAACATCGTATGACATCTTATCCTACCATTCCAGTTTATATAGAATTTTATCCCAGTAATAATGATGATTTGAGTGATTTATATAATTATATAAATAAGTGACCCTTCCACCTCTCCAGACTCTGCTTTAAGTATGTTTTAATTCATATTGACTTTATACTGTGTTCTAAGCTGAGAAACCAGACAGTAAGATGTATTTGCTAAAATCACACCAAGTGCTGGATGCCTGAGTGTAAATTTAACACCACTTCCCCGCTTAGATCGGATTTACTGAACCATTGAAATAACCAGCATGTCCACTCCGCTGTGTGAGAATTCTGGTGGTCACTGACTGCTTTGCAAATTTTAACACTTTCCATTCCACAGCCAATCTAAAAGGGGAAACAGTGGGAAACAGACATTTTTTTTATTCATTTCTTAGAAGATAGAATGCATAATGTGTTGTGTTTTTGGGGGACATTTTCTTTCAACGTACTGCCCAACAAAATGAAAGCCAATCATTTTAGAGCAGAGATTCCCCTGGTTGTTAATACTGAATATTTAAACACAGCTAAAATATGTGTTATGGAAAGTTATATCCCTTTAACTACAATGACAAAAAAATACCAACTTAGATTTAATTTCTTTCTGGATGTCATGAAGATCTCCTGCAGAATATTTGCTGAATTCACAGCCCCCCTATGCTATTTTGACAGGTTTGAGGATATGGTAAATGCCGTTTTATTACTTTCTCGTTAGGTACCTCCAGACGATGTTTTCTTTAGGAAGAATTAGGCATATTCGGGGTCAATGCTATGAGGTACAGCTTTCAACAGGCAACTCTGTTCCAACCAAAATATCTACTGTGTCCGACTTCCACTGGGTGCGGAAATCTGCTCATTCCTGTCAAGTTGTTAAATTTATGAAGAAATACATAAGAATTTTCTGCAAAGATAAGGCCTTTGTTGTACCAGTATGAAGGAAGTAAAGAGAGGGGTGTGGTTGGTAGGGTTTCCCCCCGTCCTGATTACAGAGGAAGGTTAATGGTTTAACTGAGGAATGGGTCCCAGATGGTAGGGGGCCCTCGCAGAACAATATCAAGTGAGAACCCCTTCCTCTAATCCAAACACAACCTGAGTTACCTGTAAGTGAGGTAACCGTTACACAAAAAAAATCATTAAAACCTACACAAATTAAAACACACACACACACATTAACTCTTGGATAAGACATTATAAGAAAAAAATTTATGTAATGAATTTAGTCACGCCATCCCTGAGCAAAGGAAAATCTATATACCAGAGTTACCGGATATCACAACCTGTGATCAAGCAGGGCCTTTGACTATATATAGTTCATTAACGATCAGACAGTGCGCCATTCACATATATATCAAAAGACAGATAATGGTGGGCAAACATTCAAAGGCCCAAGCAGTGGGGGACAGTAGGAACTGTGGGTATCACAAAAATATCTACTTACTTTAACTGTGAGTCACACTTACAAATTTCTATATGTGTCATATAACAAGAACTGAAAGCTGTACATTATAGTTATAAATAGACAATGTGTATCAATGTCACAGAGGTACAAAACTACAGCAGATAACAGTGTGTGCGTCAATGACAGCTGCGTGTGTCACCTGGAAAGAAAACGGTCAATCATGATGGTCAATAACTGTGTACGTTAGAATTACAATGATTTATATAGCGCCAACATATTCGGCAGTGCTGACAGATATCTGTGTATGTTACAGTGACAGATAGCTGTGGAGGTCACTATCACAGTATTTCTTATGAAGCTAGATAGCTGTATATGTTGTAGTGGCAGATAGCTGTAAATGTCACGGAGACACATAGCAGTACACATGGCCGGGAGAGGTCCTCGTTACTCACCTAATAAAGATGTTATTCTGTGGCCAGTGATCCCTTTACAGTGCTGGCCAGGCTCCTGCGGGGCAGATAGCTGTGTGTCAGTGACTGACAGTCACTGTGTCTCTTGATGACAGGCAGCAGTCTCCCTCTGTCAGTGGACTGCTCCGTACAGGTGCTCTTTTCTCACCTCACTTACTATACGTCTGGACGGGAGCAGTCTCTCTCTTTGTGTCTAAGCTGTCACTTCCCCTCACCGCCTCTGCTTCCGCTCACTGTCTCTTCCTCTTTTCTTCCTCTCTTCCTCTATCTTATAGTCTCTTCTCTTTGCTTTCTTCCTCCCATGAATGTTATCTATCTCACTCTCTGTTCCGTAGCCTCCTTACCTGCTTGTCATCTGTCCCTCCAGATACCTCGTCCTCTCTTTTTTTTATCTACCACCTTCAATATGTCTCTAAAGTTTGTTACATTCCCTCTCCCAGTCCATACCGTCTGACTGTCTATGTGTCACTTCAAGGCTTTTTTCATCTTATTTGTGACAGTCTTCCATTCTGGTTCTTACTCTTAGGCTGTCTTTCTCTAACCTTCTCAGGCTAACACTCCCTGTTTCCACTTCTCGAGCTTTCACTCTCTCTACTGTTCTCTGAGTCCTGTTTTATTATTTTCTTACTGTATTCTCATTCACCCCTCTCTAATCCTTCCTTCCTGCCTCATACTCTCTTCCACCAGTTTTCTTCTTCATGTCACTCTCACTGTTTTTTCTTTCACGCACTCACTTTCCCTCAGCCTGTCTGTCACTCCTTACCCCTTACAGACTGTCTCTCTCCTATACCTGTCTCACACTGTCCTCACCATCTCAGTTTGTTTCCTTCTTCCTATCCCTTTCTCTCGGGCTGTTTTCCATCTCTCTCTTGCTCGCTGCCTCGTTTTTAGTTGTCTCTCTATTTCTGACTGAAGTTTGCAGGTTTCTCTAATACAATCACTTCCTGCCCACAGCTGCAGAGACTGTGGGTGCTATGTGGGTTTTCCTGTGTATACATCAACAAACACACTTGTTTTAACTTGTCATGGGTCAAAGAGTAAGCAACACATTGCGGCAGGATCCCTGCATGCAAAGACAGATATATATATGATTTACATAGCCGTTATCAAATATACCAGCTTATTTGGGCATTGCCATCTTCTCCCACTGCTCCAGAATGTTAATCATGTTTTTTTTAATTTAAGGTCTACTTTGTTTGTCTATTGCTCTGCGGAATATGTGGGTGCTTTACAAATAATTGTAATTGTAAATACATTGCACTAAGTGATCCCTGATTGTAGATTGTGGTCTTTGCAGAGCAGGCAGCTGTGATACAATGCAAGAGTGTTATGTAAGCAGACATTCTTGTGGCAAAGCAAACGGGCTTTATTCTTGCACAATAATTGATGTAAGTCTTGAATGCAGTGCACAAAGCAGATTACTGAATTGAGAAAAATAACTAGATCAGACGGATGTATTTGGCAGACTGTATACTACATATTTACAAAGATACACACCCATATATAGTGTAATAATTGGATATTCTTATTGTACTTATCACTCACGTGATTTAGAGCATAATTAGCTCTGATGTTGTCACCAGAAGTGTCGATCGGGGATTTCCAGCCAGGGATGTTTCTTTAGCCTTGAGGCATGTGTAGAGAAACAGAAAAGTCTTTGAAATGCAATGTATATATAAAAATTAAGTTTCATAAACACCTATCATAACCAATAAAAAAGCTTTAATATTTACATTTTGTGAGCTAATCTGCTAGATGCACAGCACAAATAATATGCAGGGTATGCTCACACACATGTTGGTTCATTTTATATCATGCTTCCTCGTGTTCTTCACATCTTCTATCACTTGTTAGTGTGTTTCATGTTGGTCTCTATAGAAACGCCCCTGCTTGCATATCCTATCTCTGATTAGAGCATCTGCTAACAACATCAGTGCAGATTGTGCTCTAAATCACGTGAGTGGCATTAGAACAACAATATACATTATATATAGATTTTATTCATAGAGCACTATGTATGCTGGTATTGTTTATTTTTTTATGTTGTCAGTTAATATTACATCTGCCAAATGTATGAGTTACCATATTTAGGATTTTTAATATTTTAAGCATTTGAGTGATCTTCATCGTACAGGACAATAATTCGTAATAGAAAGAGAATTAAATTTAAACTGTCAAATTTAGGATACAATTGCAGAACTCGACTTTTGTCAAAACATTGCTATTTTAGTCTAATAATCTGCGTTTCTAATAGAGTTACGTTCCCATATTCACCGTTTGACGTAGTTTATTGATACGGGCAATGAACCAAGAAATTCATTAAAATAACCATCTTTGGATATCCCAAATAATGTGAATTCTGAACTTAAAAATAACAAGAGATATAAAGGGCCCTGCTCAAAAAGTGTGCAAAAATAAATTAAATGTATTTATAGTAAGTGAGTATAAGGAAGTAAATTTCGGATAATTTGGAATTACAACTGATTTTTTCTGGCGTTACACAGAAAAATGGGCTAATTAAAATGCTGGAGGTTTGAGAAAAGTAACAAAGCATTATTTAAATATTCCCCTCACCAACAGCAGACGAATCAGTCACGGAGCCTGAGCATGTTAGTGACACTTGATGGCTGATGAGATAAGGATTGTATAGTCACGCAAGTGGAAAACTGTACATGCAGATTGATGTGACGAATTAAAGTGATGTCTCATTGTTTGGTATTGGCAAGTGAATGGTATCATGATGCTTGCTTGTTTCCTCCCACCCTCCGTGCTTGCAGATTTAATACAAATTAATAACCTCAATGTGGATTGTAAAGGTTGTGCTACAGCACTAATTGCTAACCTAGATGTATTATTCCCTCCCACTCCTTCTTGTGGTGTGCATGTGTGGTGAGTATGTCGATGTACAGGCAGGCCAGCATGAGGAGAAGATATGTTTAAATGCAAAAAAACAGCACAGACACATCTGGTAAAAGACCTGATACACCCCCTCAGCTAACTATAGTATTTAAATCTAAAATAAAATCTAAAATAAAATAAATATATAAATGTATTGTTGTCCATTACGTACATGTCGAGCTAGCAATATATCCCACAATTGTAACTGAGCACTAACAGGTATAATGGGGGTTATGTACAAGGAAAGTGTTGAGCTGTTATGTGTATTCAAAAGGAAACATAAAACGATACTAATAAAGGTAAACTCACAGAAACTAAAGTTTGAAGTAAGGCTGTGGTCTTTATTTAGAAGGAATTTAAAGCAACTGTAACTTTAAACACTTTGTTTGTAAAATAACTGTATATATGTATATTTGTAGTCGGGGCAATATAGCCGTGATGAAAAAGGTAACATAACATATTATAACCAATAAACATATTCAAATTGAGGTTGTGGTGTGCCGGAACCGACAAAGCAGTAGACCTGTAATAAAAGTGGGCAAAAAGAAAACAAATACACTTTGCACCAATTCATGATTTTTTGGTGGTCTATGAGATTTTACTCACAGACCCTATTACCCACGCAAAAGAAGCTTGCACCGCAACAGCTCCAACTACAAGCAGTAAAAAGATTACAAGCTTTGGACGTGACTGACAAGGGACTTATTGTATCTTATCTGTTTAAGAAATCTAAATTAAAGGTACACTATAGTCATCAAAACAACTTTAGCTTAATGAAGCAGTTTTGGTACATAGACTATGCCTCTGCGGTATCACTGCTCAATTCTCTGCCATTTAGAAGTTAAATCCTAGTTGCACCTCCCTGCAAGCAGTGTGCACAGTCACAGCTTTCCTAAACACATCCTGGAAAGGAACCTAGACACTCTATTATTGCACAGTCTGTATAATATAGAATCTCCTGCTCTGTTAATAGCTTGCTAGATTTTGCAGAAGCCTCCTCTATATAAACTTCAATTTAGAGAGCAGGTGATAAAAACTTCGAAAGTAAGTTAACATCTCATTGAAAACAAAACCATTTTTTCCTGCAGGCTGTGTCAGTCACAGCCAGGGGAGGTGTGGCTAGACCTGCATAAACAGAAACAAAAGGGATTTAACTCCCAAATGGCAGAGAAACAAGTAGTGTGGCTTCCGAGGCATGATCTATACACCAAAACTGTTTCATTAAGTTGTTTTGATGACTATATAGTTTCTTTAATAAAGGAGAGGTAATCATCATGGAAGCCAGTGGGACCAGCAGGCACACTGCACCCCTTTTAGAACATGACACTTTTTCTAGATAACTTCCATAGTTTGAGACTTCGTTTTTGGATACACCTTTAGAAAGGAAGCATGGTTTTACAGTTTTAAACCAAAAATTGCTTGTGATACAAACGGGCCAATGACCAGTAACCATCCATAGACAGTACAGTGTCAGTGTCATTGTTTTGGATCTCACCAGCATCGTGCTGGTTCTCGTCTGGGTGTTGGGGTCTTCCAGTCAGCATATAACTAACAAGGTTATTAACTAAAGTGAGGACTGCTGGGGATTCAAAGAGAATTCAAAGAAAATTTTACATTTGATGTTAAAATAGCCGGAACTAGAAAAAACTATTCTCCCAGTCATCTATGCTTTCTATTCGGCTACTTTGACCTTCAATTTGAAATTCCCTTTGAATTCCCAGCAAGTTTTACTTTATTGAATAACCCTGTGAGCACTAAAAAGGCCGCATATACATGTCAGGTGCCTGTAGGAGCGCCACCCATGCTCCCCAACCCAAAATCAGGCAGATAAAGTAAGTATAATGAATTTATAAACTGGACATTTTAGGCCTGAGAACGTGTCCATTCGAAATTTTGGATGTAAACTTTAGCGAATAACGGTAATAGTGGGAGCGCTTTCTGTACCAATAATGCAAAGTTGTTATAGTGCTCAGACAGGCCCTTTAAATTACCTGAAGTAGTACCCTAGACCCTGATATTCCTGTTTCACTGGTCAGTAAGTGTCTGTGCCTTACTTAGTGTTTCATTTGGAACTGGATTTCTTCATAATTTCCTCAGCAGTGACTTTTCTTCTTCTAGATTAGCTACACCTTTAAAGGGGAAGTGTTACCACAAATGGAAACCACATTGTTATTTTAAAATATAAATATATATATATATATATATATATATATATAGATGTAAAAAACAGATAAAATTCTTATCTTGTAATACCTTTTTTATTGGACTAACAGAATTTTTTAATGACAAGCTTTCGGGAGAACCTCCCTTTCTCAAGTCTGAAGCATTTCTGAGCAAAACGACACATAGAATTCAAAGTTGAGTTGTGATACAGGGGTTAAAGCGACATGAGTGTAGATAAGACACAGGTTTGTTAGAAAATAGACACCATCTTAGCAGAGGGTCATAAATATCTTGTTGAAGAGAAGAGTAGGGGGGAGAGAGGGAAAAGAAAAACAAACAAGCAGACAGTGCACAGGATGATACACTTTATACATGCACACACACAGAAATATGTATATGTGAACGCATAAACATATGTATATATACATAAACACATATACATACATGCACATGGACTCATATACACAAATATAAATGCACAGTAATATATATAAGCATTCATGCATACGAGTATGGGAAAGCATAGGTCTACACATAGTACTTTGTATATAGATAGAATAAACATATAGGAATGCATTTTAAAGTGTTGGTACATATGACAGAACAGTAAGATAATGCTGGGAGAGTGTTCATGTAAAGTGTTGGTAGTGGGACAGGAATCCCAAATCAATATTTAGTCCTCTCTTCTTGCTGTTAAACCATTTAATCATTCTGGCTTCAAAGGCTTTTCTTTCCTGGGTATTTTTAAAACCCCCTTTCAGTACTTTGATTTTTAGGTCCTTCAGTGAGTGGCCAGGTTGGGTAAAGTGGTGTCCCACAGGAGTGCAGTATGATTCTTCTTTGTGGTGTTTAATAGAGTGTCTGTGCATATTCATTCTGCCATTTAATGGCTGGGTGGTTTCCCCAATGTAGCATCCTAGGTGACATTTTATGCATTGAATCATGTATACCACATTGCTGGATGTGCAGGAGTATGAACCTTTAATGCTGTAGGTTTTATTGTTGTGTGTGGCTGTGTTGTCTGTGCATATGTGCTGACACAGTTTGCAGCGAGGTTTTTTGCATTGACTGGTCCCGTTTTCTTCGTTCTTACCATCAGTGGGCAGTAGTGATATTGGGCTCTACTCTGACGTGGAAGAATTTTTCAGAAGGATGCGACTTAAGGAATACTTCCATGACAAAGAGAGCACTGAAACCACAATGGATTACAACAACCGGAAAAAAAACACTAATTTCAGTCCTGCACCAGGACGAAATGCCAAACTGGACAGTTACATTGAAAGTTTCCGTCTAAGAACAGTATCCTTGACAACCAAGCAAAACCAAAAGAAAATGTTTCATAATCTCTCAGTACAGGAACAAATGGCTATAAATGACCTGAAAAATAATCATGCTATCACCATCAAACCAGCAGACAAGGGAGGAGCAGTAGTGATAATGAACACCCAGGACTACATAAAAGAGGGTGACAGGCAATTGTCAGATGACAAATACTATAGAAAACTAAAT